GTTTCTGGAGACAGTCCTATGTAGCCCATGTTGGCCTCCTATTTGCTGTGCAGCTGAAGATGGCCTTGAATCCATGATTGCCTCCACCCCCCCAGTGCTAGGATTATAGGGATGTGCCACCATGCCAGGCCTAAATTTATATTTCTACAACTTCGTAATTTGTATAAATTTTTATTTGAAAGAAAGTGTTCTGTTGCTTTCTAAAACTACACTGCTTTCAATTTAATTTTCAGTTACCTTACTTTAATTAAAAACACCGTTGCTTATCCAGATGATGGGTGTAATGTGATATTTACCTTGCATTTATATCTATTTTTATATTTTTTCTGTAAACACCGTGCTATTTCAGCAAATCATTTGTGTTGAGAATCTGATTTTGATAATAACCATCATGCGCTCTTTGTCCCAGGTTGTAGAAATGTACTCTAGTGGAGGAGATCTTCACTTAGAACTCCCCACAGGGCAGCAAGGAGGTACCAGAAAATTGTGGGTAAGTGGAAACATAGATTTCTCTTGTATGTGCTCAAATGAAGTCAGTCATTGCCCTTTTTATGGTATGTGAACAGATTTATTACCACCATTCATCACATATTATGTGACAGAAGTTCTGATGGTCTTTGGCAAGAAATCTTGTTTGAAGAAAATATGCATTAAAAAGTCATAAAACAAAATTCCATATACAAAGTATAAGAATCTGTCATGATCCCAATAATGAATAAAACTCATTTTGCAATGGCTTACTAACCATAATTACTTAAATCCTACATGAAAACTAAGCCTCCCAGCATATTAGAAAGCTATTTCATGGGGCTGAAGAGATGGCTCAGCAGTTAAGAGCACTGGCTGCTCTTGCAGAGGACCTGGGTTTGATTCCCAGCACCCACATGGTGGCCAGCAACCATCCATAACTCCAGTTCCTGGGGAATCTGATACCTTACTCTGACCTACTCAGGCATTGCACGACACAAGTGCACCTATCTACATGCAGGCAATACACTCATACACATAAAAAAATAATAAATATCATTTTAAGAAGGAAAGATAATTCATTTCACCTTTGGAGTCAACAGGGCCTGAAAAGAAAAGGAAAAAAAAAGCATCTTACCTGATTTGATTTTAAAAGAAACTACCTCTAAAATTTATATACCATTCCTAACACAAACTTTAGAGAATTAGTCCATCTCAACATTTATTTTCAAGAGTCAAATTAGAAATATATAGTCCACAAATCTACTTTTAAGAATGAGCCACTAAGGGGGCTGGAGAGATGGCTCAGTGGATAAGAACACTGGTTGCTCTTGCAGCGGACCCGGGTTTGATTCTCAGCACCCAACAACTAACTAACAACCATCTGTGACCCCAGTTCCTGAGAATCTGAGGCTTTCCTCTGATCTCTGTAGGCACTGCATGCACGTGGTACACTTACATACATGTGGGCAAAACACTCACACACATAAAATAACAAATAAAAAATGAACCAATGATAAACATTTCTATTTATAAAATTATTTGTAATTTAGAACATTTCTTTCAGGCTGTATAACTGCTGATGAATTCTAAACAAGTTGCTTCATACATCAGATACTTCAGTATATATCAGATGCTTCATATTACTTGCATGTATAGAATTCCACTACATGAGAAGTTTACATGGGACTTTGAAACTTCGATATAGCTACAGTTTTTTCGTTTATTTTTCGATTTTGTGAGGTATTGACCGTGTTTGTGTGTCTTCCAGGCAAGACTCCCAACAAAGATTGTTCTTTTTTACTTGTGAAGCTAAAATGAGGTGACTAGAAAAGTTCCCGTGTTTTACATTGGCATGAATTTTCTTCATCATGCCTTGACATGTATCCTTGAAACATCCTAAATCATGGGGCCTCCTTTCTCCTGTATTTGGAGTTCCTTTGCACTGTGACTCCTTTCATATTTGTGAAAGGAACTACCAATCATTTTCTTATATACACTAGAAAATACTTAACTCCTTATCACCTAAGAAACATGGGTGATTTTTTTCTTTAATATCTCAATATTAAATGTATATCAAATATGTACTTAAAAATTGGATGAGAGAATGAGTTAAAATTTAAGTCAAAGAGCAGTGTGCAAAATTGACAGATTTAGCCTGCTGTATAGAAGAGGAGAAGCAAGTTGCAATTTTCACTATTTTCTCAGAATCAGTATTATATTGAAAACCTGCCTCAGAATCTGATCATTTATATGTGCTTTGCACCCAAGAGTTTTTTTTAAAAAAGGAAAGAAACTGCAGGATTATTTTTGTAGGTAGAAAATTTAACATTCAGACCCCCTCTTGATAAAGGAAATGGCATTTCAGACAGAACTGGTCACGTTTCTGTGAAACTTAGAAAATTTGAAATTCTTAGGTAAACTATATCTGCCATCAATAATGTTGAATTTTAAAGTTATATCAATGTTTGGACAACTACTAAGAGAATAATAGCAGATATTAACCAAATTAAAGAATACCCATGAACCTTGATGTCTCTTTTTAAGCTGTTGTCTACCATGCTTTACTCCAAGAGGGGAAAGATAGTGGTTGTGGTAACTGCAGGTTTTATACCAAGGTCACTCAAGGTCGTCCTCATTATGGCAGAGTTCATGAGTTTCTCTTGCTACTATCTCACCAGTCTGAACCAGGGGATGGGTGTGGAGGTAGTGTTTTTGAAATGTTAGCCTGAATATTAGAGGCAAGTTTGTCTCTCAGTGATTTGGTTAATTTCCCAAATAATAGAAATACTAGCAGGAAGAATATGTAATGGAGAGTCCCTTTAGTCTTTCACCAAAAACAATTGCACCTTGGGATTATGTTGTTTGAAAACCCTTTGGGAGAAAGAATATATGAAACAAAACACAATAGAGTTCAATGCAAGTTACCAAGTTTCTGTTATAATTCCAAACTAAAAAAACTGAGATACAGTTGATATCTAATAAATGGACATGAAAGAATTTAGACTTCTAATACCTAAGAACTGCAATGAACCATGGCAAAGATTAGCATAGCCTTTCTTGGTTTTGTTTTGTTTGTTTGTTTGGGGGGTTTTTTGAAACTGAATCTCCCTGTACCCTAGCTAGCCTGGAACTCACTATACAGATCAGGCTGACCTCGATCTCATAGAGCCACCTGCCTCTGCCTCTCTGCCTTATGCTGGCACTAAAGGTATGCGCTACCATGCCTGGAGTTTTTTACATAACCCCAGTGACTACAGAAAATATATGCATCCAGTAATCATTCCTATAAGCCTAGAGTAAGGGAAGAAAAAAAATCAGTGGTCCTTATTTTGGGAGAATGTGTCTTGGTTCTTGTCTACTCAAAAGAAATATTTCATTCTAGAGATATAGAACGTTAAAATAGAAGTTTATTTAGTAAAGCAAGCAGAGAGGGACTGGAGTGGGCTATCCCAAAGTAGGGGTAGTAACCCAATCAAGTCTATGTTGTGGATTTTAATAACCTTTATAAGTATTTATGAGGTGGGCAGCATATTCATGGGGTAGTATGGCCCTTTTCCGTCACAAATCATGGTAGAACAGCTCTCCCTTTTCAGTAGTTTTTCCTATAAATCTCTAGAAAAGCCCACAATGTAAATGATACTCTAATGAAACTAATGAAAGCAAGTTCTTTTGAGGATGCAGACCCATCATTGGTGCACATGGGTAGGGAAATGCTCTGATGTCTTGGGTTTTTTAATATAGTGGGAACAACCTATCTGCAGCCTCACGGAGGTTTAAGCACAAAGGGGCATTCCAACCATCAGAGGACACAGCCCCCAAAGTATAGCTGCAGTTCTCTTGGTTACCTCATACCTGCTGCCCAGATGTTGTTTAAGAAAACTGAGTCTTCGTCATGAAAGCTGGAGCCAGACTGTACAAACGGGCAGAAGTTAGGGCTGCCACTAGGACTCCCTTTACCCTACTCTGCCATTTGTGTCTGTCGCTGCCTGATGTTACCATGCTCATTTTACTGTACATTAGAAAGTCCCAGAGACTTGAGTCATCTTCCTAGAATTGGAAAGTCCCCTCTAGGTTACCCTTAGGAGGGTTCCAGTCACCTGTTTTCTACTTTAAGACTCCAAAGTTAGAGAAGTAGGGGTAAGTGAAAACTAGTAAGTTATAGAACGTGGGGTTTTCTTTAAATGTGCTACAAAAGGTGTGCAGAGAAATTCTAGTGGTTCCCAGGTGGCCAGAGAGTTCTAAAGTGAGGAAAAGAATTAGAGCGCCTCACCTCATTTTTTCAGCAAGGCTTCTAGTGCATTGTGTGTGTCAGTGTTGACATTTAGAGGACTAAAAACTTATGCTGTTTTTTCATTTGTTTTTGTTGTGTGTGTGTGTGTGTGTGTGTGTGTGTGTGTGTGTGTGTGTGTAGCACACAGAACATCCCAAACCATCCTATACAACTATACACCCACTTCCCAGATGGCCCCCTCCCATAGCCTCCCTCCCCTGCGCGCGCGTGCCAAGAACTTCACTGAACACAGTTGGTAAACTGTTAGTTGTTAAATGAAAGGAAAGCAGAGCCCAAGCCATGTGGGTTATTGTCCAGAGAACAGTAGGCACTTCTAGAAAAGTATTTTCCTTTGATGGGGAAATTTCTATTAGATAATTTCAGGACTCAATCATATACCACTAGCACTTTAAGAAGTAACTGATTTTGTAGTAGTCTTGCCTTTTAAGGCATTTTTGTAGTTTATGCTTGTTTTCAGATCATTTGACTTGATTTACTTTGCTTTACCTAACATACTTCATCAGTTCTAAAAAGCACCTTTTTTCTTATTGTAACATTCTCTAAGATTGGAGCATGTTACGGTCAGTGAAGCCTATGTGTTTAATTGGTAGTGTATTTTTTCTGATTACAGGTATAAAGACTAGTACAGTTTCAGTAAGCGTCATCTGATTCAGTAAACAAGGTGGTTTTGCAACATTGTAAGCACATTTGGTCTGTTCACAGGAAATCCCTCCTTATGAAACCAAAGGAGTAATGAGAGCCAGTTTCTCCTCCAGAGAAGCAGATAATCATACAGCCTTCATAAGAATAAAGACCAATGCATCCGACAGCACAGAGTTTATCATCCTTCCTGTTGAGGTTGAAGTTACAACAGGTTAGTGGAAAACTGAAGAAATGTCATGTGTGTTATGTTTTCAGTATACCTCATTCTGGCAGAGTAAAAGATAATTGTCCACTATTCTTTTTTCCAAGCTCCTGGAATTTATTCCTCAACTGAAATGTTAGATTTTGGAACATTGCGAACACAAGGTAAAAAAAAAAAAAAAAAAAAAATCTTTGTATATCTTAACACAGATATAGATATAATCGGAATTCAGTGCTGGGGGGATCTACTGCATTTGTAATTCAGCTTTAAAAGTTATTTCTCAGTGGGTTATATGAAACCCACCCAGTGTAGAAATCTTCATTTTGGGAACTCAGAGCTCACAAGTTTATGCCCCATTCTCTGGTAGGTACCATTGCTTCCCAGGTAGGAAAATAAAGTCAGGGACTAGTTTGAATCTTCCAAACAAAGAACTGAGGCAGAAAATACTTCCTTAGTATCTTAATCCAGTTCCTCACCTATTGAATTTTGATGAGTATTTTTTCCTAGTAGTAAAATAAAAAAATGTATCTCTGGGGCCTGGAGAGATGACTCAGCTGTTAACAGTACTAGCTCCTCTTTCAGAGGACCCCCAGGTTCCGTTTTCAACACTCACATGGTCTGTAACTCCAGTTCCAGGGGATATAATACCCTCTTCTGACCAGCATGGGCATTGTATGACATTCGTACACATAAAATTAAAATAATAAATAAAATAGCTTTTTATCTCTGCATTTTTTAAAGATATGAATTATTCAATTGCATTATAATGACATAATGTTAAAAGTTTATCTCAGGTGATCAAAGAAAGAATTCCAATTCTAAAATTATAAACACCCAAGTTAAGATTTTTTATTAAGAAAAAAGTAAAAATACTTGTAACCTGGGATTTTGGGGGGCCATTTTCAGTTAAGATTTTACTTGTCTAGAATTGAAAAATCACATTTTTTAAAATGTGATGTACTTTTATTTGGTAATTTTGCTTTGTACATTGTTAATTGCTTCATTATGCCTTGTTGGAAAACTAAAATATTAGTAATGTTTGAGTTCACTATAAGTTATATTCTGCATTTTTTATTTTGTGTTGGTGTGGTTATGTGGGAGCAGCAGCTCTTGTACTCCGCAGTGTCCTATGAGTAAAGTGATGCTTGCCTAATGTTTCTTTTATTATCCTGATTGTCATTATATTTCACATTCTAGAATAATTTCAGCTTGATATCTAATAAGGTAAAGATTCTAATTTACTTTGAAGCGTACCTTTTTAAGAAATACTTCTTTTCCTCCATTTTAACAGATCTTCCAAAAGTTTTAAATCTTCATTTATTAAATTCAGGAACAAAGGATGTACCAATTACAGTAAGTTTTTGCTTATTTCTTTCTTAGTCTCAGTCTCAGTGCCCCTCTCTCTCTCTCTCTCTCTCTCTCTCTCTAACTTAATAATAGAGTTAAACCTAGCCCCATATTGTGGTAGCCTGTAAACTCATGGTTCTATGTAGGATGTGAGAGACTTGGTCTGCCTCTTACCTCCCATTTGTAAGGATGATGGGGGAAGTAGGTGGTCTTCTCCAAGCCACAATTGAGCCAAAGGTCTTGAGGCTTCTCTTTAAGCAGAGCCATATGAGAGATGGGTCTGATGGGGACACAGACCAGGTTATAAGGATTCCATGCATTTAGTTGTTACACATGAAATGTGGATAAATAAAAAGGGGGAGTTGCCATAAGCACCATTTCTAGCTGGGAGCTGTCGTAATTACCCTACATAGCACATTATAAACCAGGATCCTTTCTTCCTTTTCACACAGGACAGATAATGTCCATGCCTTATAATGAAATTGAGATATATAACATTAGTTTAACCAAAAGTAAAGACAAAGATAATTAAGTTTTTCTTTGTCCCACAACCTGATGATGTTCCCAAGACCTATACATAGGGAATAAAGGAATAGGAAAGCTTAACATTGCTATTATTACTGTGCTTAAAACCAAAATTCAAGAAACTTCATTGGTTGCTTATGTGGACTGAAGGCTTAAGGAACCTTTGTCCTTCCATGGCCAAATCCTGACTTTACCACCAGCTGGTGGAGTAAAGACCTAAGAGGGGAGAATATACCGACTGCAGAGGTAGAAGCAAGGGACTTTCATCTCAGGTAACCACATTGTAATCATGCATAGTGCTACAAAGTTTCAAACAGTGTCCTGATAGCTAACCTACCATTTCTTCCCTCTAGACATTTCTAATGTGTTGTAGGAATTTAATGGGAAAATACCTTTGCTTAACTCAAGCATACTAGCCTTTTTATATACTAAATGTGCTGATGCAAGTATGTTTTTCAATGGAATTGGCAACTCATCTTTAGAATGCAAATTTAGAGGACTGCGATGAAGCTCCATGGTGGAGGGCTTGCTGACCATGCCTAGACTCTGGGTTCAATCCCCAGCACCACACCAAAAAAATAAGTAATATGAATTTCAAAATGCATAATTCAGTTCATTTATGATAAGAACTTCAGTAGATCAATGTTCTTCCTTTTCCCTTTTGTTAAAGAGTTTTAAGAAAAACTGTAAGTGAATGATTTCGCCCTTACTGTGGGTCAAGCACTATGCTTATTTCATTATATATAAGGAATACCTTACTAATACAACAACCATATGAGGTACAAAGGTCCTAGCTTCCAAATAGGGAAACTAAGCCAGCTTTTTAAAAGTAACTTGAGCAGTTATTTAAAAGACCTTAAAGTTTCATGAAAATATATTAGATGTTACAAATGGCACTTATCAACTAAGTCTTTATGACTATTTCATTTTAATTTCATAGTCATTATTTCTTTTAGAAACCTACGCATTTCTGTCTATAGCCATACCTACCAATGGATGTGGCTTGAAACATTCAAAGACTACACTCCCCAGTGTTTTAGTAGTTTTCTCTTTATTTCTTCCTCCATTCATCTCTTTACTCCTTAATTTAATAAATCAACTATTATGTTGTTGTTAGTCCTGAGACTATAGCAGTGAGTCAGACCACCAAAGTCCGGACCCTCCACGTCTGAGCTCACTTTCAAACGGCTTCTGGGAAGCATTTAGATTTATTCTAAGTGCCACAGGAAAATGATGAGGTGTTAAGCAAGAGAGTAACATTACCTGACTTAGCATGTTGTAGGAGATCACTATAGCTACTTTTTGGAGAATTCAAGTGCCAAGATACAAGTACAGAAGGTAAAAGAGATCGGGTAAAATCTGCCACAGTGGTCAGTTGAAGAGGTCATATAGAAGCTCAGACTTCTTACCTATACACGGTGAAAACAGTTTTCAGAGAGCTTTTTAAGGTTCCCCCGCCCCCGTTCATTTCAGCATTTTCTGCATAATATAAAAGGCTTAGAGACTGATGGATTTTTTTTTTAAAGTTGTTATCCTCTTCCATTCCCTAATTTTTAGGATAAATTAGGCAGTGCTGAATGCTGAAGATTTTTTTTTAAAGTCCCCTTAAGAGAACTTGGTCTCTTTCTAAATACTGCAGCCTTTCTCAGTACAGGATGACAAACACAGGTAAACTCCAAATGATAAGTTCCTCTCCTGGTACTGAACAGGATGCCCATGTTCAAAGTCTTCCTGGTATCTATGATGTGTCTGAGAAAATGCCTTTCCTGGCATTTCTAAACCTTAATGCACTGTAAGTGCCTGAGATATCTTAACAGGAATGTTTGCATAAGGTCCTGTTTCTAGTTGATGGATAGTAATCATTTACTACTTTTTATGAGTATCAGTTTGATATGTGCTTTAATGAATTTATGCACAAAATATTAAGACTAAATTGTTATGTACTATGAGTTTTCTCCTTCTTTGCTCACGTATGTTTATAGTTTCAAAATGTCCTGGACTCTTGAGTCCTACTTAAGTCACTGAGGTAGTTAGGTCTGAATGTCGTGAGAAAAGGCTAGAACTATATTTAGAGCATATGTCAGCTGCCTTTCCTGGGAATCGTGCCATATTTTTCCACTTCTTAATTATCTTTCAGTAAACAATAGTAAATATACTAAAATGGTTTGTTGGTATAAATAAGTTTATTACAAGGTAATGATTTTTGTATCATTTTTCATGTCACCAAAATAAACCAACTATTTTTAAAAAAAATTTTTTTATTTGTTTGTTTTGTTTTCTTAGAAACAACAATTAGTTTCAACTGATGATCTGGCTTTGTTTTTATTAGTAATGAGTGAACAGTTCAAACTATTTTTTTTAACTTTAAAAAAAATTTATTGAGAATTTCATATATGCATATAAGGTGTTTTGATCAAATACATGCCCACTCCCTCCCCTCCAACTCCTCCCATATCTCCCCACCACTTTTTCACAGCAGACTATATATGTAAAACATGAATCACCAATTGTATATTTGGTTACTGTAAGTGCAGTATATTTTGAAGTAATAATATTGCACGTAAAATGGGAAAGCTTAAAGTATTGTATTTCATTTGAGAAAATCACTTTTTCATTATCTGTTTCAAGCTCTTCCTACTTATATTGTCTATGTAATGTTACTTATTATTTCCGACCTGGTTTTACATAGGCCAGTGACACTCAGAGCATTCTGTGGTGGCTCCCAATGCCCTGCCCCATCCAATGTGTAAGCGTGTCAGGGCCTGGCAAGTTTGTTGTTACCAGCTCACATGCTATAAATCAAGGGAAGAAATTAGTTGTCTCTATGAAAGTCTTCTGCAAGCTTTAAGACTGTCTCCCTAACAAATCATGAACTTGAGATAAAAGTAGCTAATGTGAAAAAATAGCAATAGATGGAATCACAAAATTTTATAGACAGATGAGACCCAGAAAATACCTACCCCAGTCTCTGGACTTGTTTACAGATGGAGAAGTGATCTAGAGTGTATATGGGAAGCTTGCTCCAGCTCCTCCTGGATCACAACTAGATTGCCATGTGCTGTTGTCCTTCTCTTTGGAAAAGCTGTTAGTGTGATAGCCTACTCTAACAAAAACAAATACAGCTTTCTTCCATTTGTAGTTTAGCTTACAATTCAAGCTTATTTGTTTGATTCTCAAAAATACATGCACATACCCTTTAGGGAATGAAGAGATTTGCATTTTAGTTGGTTGCTAGTGAGCTTATTGATAAGTAAACATTGTGATGAACAGATCATTCAATTCCTAGCCCCAGTCTGAAATTCAGAAGCAAATGAGAAGGCATTTTCAAAGTGGGACAGGTGGGAAAGTTAAAATGCTGAGAGAGCTGGAGGCAGGAGCTAAGGCTGTTAAGAATTCTAACACAAGTAACTGCAAGAATTATCCTTAGGGCCATCATGCTAGGCCTGTACAGACTTGCTAGCAGCCAAAGGCTAACCGAAGGCTAACCAGATAGTGTGTGGGAAAGGGAGCTGCCCTGGCAGGCCCTGGAGTCATTATAACAGTCATCTTGGATCCCTGTAGTTGGCAGACACCAGGTAAAATGGCCAGTCAATGTCTCCCTTCACATTCTTCTCAGATGCTTAGTGTGCCTTCAGGGAGTTCGCTTTTGATGTTCAGTTTGCCCCTTTGATGAGCAGATTTCTCCTTTATCAGTGAGCAGAAGAGGGTCAGCAGGGGATGGGGAAAGAACCCAGTGACTAGCTGGACCTTGTTAACAAGCATGCTCATGAGTTTCACAGATAGCAGATTCTTTTCTACAGGAAATTGTAGGTTTTTGTTATCAAGGCCGCAAAGTCTCTGATAATATGATTGATGGTACCCCAGGAGGGTTTGAACCAAAGTTCTGGTTCAAGGTAAATTATAAAGGAAGATTTTTATTCAGAATTGCTGTGCAATGCCACGATTTCATGAAGACACGTTTGTGCAATAGAATGTCAGGCAGCAGGCCCTGGACCAAGTCAGGAAAACCTGGCTTCAATTCTGCCTCATTGGGCCTGGCTCTTGAAACATCACTTCCTAATGGGAGAGTCTCTTCATCAGTACAAGGAAGTGGATTGGTATCTTTGAAGTCCCTTTCAACTAAAACGATTTGTATCAGGAAGATAAAAAATAACTGGACTTTAAAATGTTTTTATTTTTTAAATATGCCTGAAAGTATACAGCTTGCTGGGTTTTGTTTTTTTAGGTTTAGTTGTGTGAATGGAAAGACCTGGTTTCCTAAGTTGAAAGCATTCTAACTTTTTCCAAGTTAAACATCTCTGTAATGTGCCTCACTGCCTAGTGATGCAGCAGCCCTGCCTGTAACAGCAGTGGGCCTCACGGCCAACAGCCAGCCCCTTATGAAGGAGAAATGAAATGTGCAGAGCTACCACAAGGGGGCACCACGCCCAGTTGCATGTTCAAAAGGGAGTCGGTGTTAAATTTGTGCCGTGGATTTCTTCATAAAGAATGGCTCATCAGTTATCTTCACATCACCATCTCACAAACTAGGCATTCATGTAGAAAATAAGACCTTTAAAGATGTTGTCTGTACTTATACCTAGTATGTGAGTTTCTCTTTAGAGTCTTACACTTACAGTTCTTTTTTTAATGGTTTATTATTTTTATTTTATGTGTATATTGCCTGCATGTGTGTATGCCTGTGGGGATCAGAAGTGGGCATCAGATCCCCTGGAACTAGAGTTACAGACCATTGTTAGCTGCCATGTGGTGCTGAGAATTCTGCAATTACAGTCAGTGCTCTTAACCACCCACTGAGCCATCTCTCCAGGCCCCCCACCCTTTTTTTTCCTTTCTTTCTTTTTTCTTTTTTTTTTTTTTTTTTTTTTTTTTTTTTGTCTTTTTGAGGCAGGGCCTTCCTGTAGCCCCAGCTGACCTGGAACTCGCTATGTAAACCAAGCTGGCTTTTAACTCACAGAGGTCAACCTGCATCTGCTTCCTGAGCGCTGGTATCAAAGGCATGCGCCACCATGCCCAGCTATACTTGCAGTTCTTATGCTTTGCCTCTTTGCTCATCATTTGATTTCATAAAGGTATTCTAATGAAAGTAAAGTTTGAACAGCTTTTCCTGTTTAATTTAAAGCTACTACAGATGTTAAACCTTTCAGATTTTGAATGTTCTTTATTTTCTATATGCTTTTTAGCATAAAGCAACTAAAGTATTAAAGTGACATTTTTTTTCTTTACAGAGTGTTCGACCTACACCACAAAATGACGCCATAACAGTACACTTTAAACCAGTTACATTAAAAGCTTCTGAAAGCAAATACACCAAGGTTGCAAGCATTAGTTTTGATGGTAAATATTCATGCTTTTCTCTCTCATAGAGTGATACTATTTTGTTAATCTAAAAAAACAGTCTATGTTGACATGTTATATGGAAATCCAGACTATTTAAGTCAAATTTAACACTACTGCCTAGATTGATATTTTTCCTATAAAACCATCATTGATTTATCTCATTGATTCATAAAGTATCAAACTTAATAAACCTAAATTAGTATTCATAATTGAGAACCACTAGCAAATACATTAGATTTGTAATAGTTCTATAATCTAGGCTAACCAGTTATATCTGTTATAATTTGCCTTAATTATGATGTCATTAATTGTTGTAATTAAGTGAAAATGTATTTAAGTTTCAGAAGCACATTTAGATTTGAGAGCAAAAATATTCTAACATTTTTATGTGTTGACCCTTAAGCAAGGCAAACAGTCCCACTTCAGCTAAAATAATGGCCTTTGTAATAGGATTGTCATCAAATTAGCTATTATTTCAGACACATATATATTTTGTCATTTGAAATGTTAGCCTAGGTCTACAACCATATTACTCTGAATGCATTCTATATTATTTGAAATGTTAGCTCAGACTTTAGCATTTTTTACAGCCTGTTTTTATTCCATTTTCCTCTGCTTAATAAAAATGTATTGAATTTGCTGTCACAAATTTTAAGTAATGATTTAACAGTTGCTAAACTGTGTAAGTAATTAAATTAAGTAAGAAATGAGCCTCTGAAGAGGACCTCTCTTTTCTGTAGCTGTACCACCCTAAACAGGCCTGATTTTATCTAACGTGCCTGCCTCACAAAAGCAAGAAGCTGTAAAGTGGAAATTGGTATACTGAAAAAGCCATATCTGTCCAGAGTCCACATTGTACAGCACAGCTCATCAGATGGGAATAGTCAGTCAGTGAATGTGACAGGACCCTGCCAAACTCCACAGAGTATTTTGAGAGTATCTGTACATATTACCTACCCCTAGAGAATTCTGGGAGGATCTAGAGCAGTAACACTGGCTGAGTGCTAGTCCCAGGACTCACCCCATGTACTCTGCAAGAATACCCAAGGAATCAAAATTAAACGGGTGATACTAGATGATGAAGTTATCAAGGGTTAAAATTATAAGAAGTATTGTCATCACAGTTACATACAGGTCTTAGGGTAAATGATTTTCTGTGCTGCTGAAAGACCATATTTATGACCACCAGTATCAGCAGAGATATACTCCTCCTATGCAGAGAAGACAATAACCAGGAGGAATTCTGAACCCTGAGAACACTTGGGCTACCCTACTGATAAACCCCAGGAATGGATGAGCTCAGCTCAGCCACAGTCCTGAGGCATAGCCCCTCCCCCCTTAGCCCGGAAGGCACAGGGCTCCTTTCCTGCAGGTCCTTAACCCCAGCAAAGGTCTCCTTGAGGTGAATATGGTGTAGTTTAGTGTGCTTCTGAGATTAGAGATTCTAAAATAAGTATTCCTTTTACTTACTTATTTTTGGAGTACTGATTATCAACCAGGACCTCACAATGCTAGGAAAGCACTTTTCCACTGACTATACTCCCAGCACTAAAATAGTATCTCTTAAAGAAATTATATAAAACTAAATGCAAAAGGAAAGTATTTTTTAAAACAACTGCTACATTTATTTAAAGTGCTTTTTTTTTTAGTTTTTGGATTTTGTTTTGGTTTTTTTTTTGAGACAGGATCTCATTTTATATAGCTTTGGCTATCCTAGAACTCACTGTGTAGACCAGGTTGGTCTTAAACTCACATAGATCCCCCTGCCTCTGCCTCCCAAGCACTGGGATTAAATTGAGCACTACCACCCCCAGCTTTAAAGTGACTTTTAATGTCATGAGGAAATATTTCCACCTTCCACCTCACCTACCACTACTAAGATCTCCCAACAGAAAATACCTCTTAAAGACTGCTGTGAGGAAGCTGGAGAGGTGTTGGTAGGGAGCACTTGCACTGTTCCCAAGGACCCTAGTCTGGTTCCCAAAATCCATATTGGGTACCTCACAACTTCCTGTAACTCCAGCTTTAGGATATCCAACATGTTCCTATGGCTTCTGTGGACAGCTGTGTGCATGCGCATGCACACACACACACACACACACACACACACACGTACTTTAAAATATATTTTTAATTTTTTTAAAGGTTGCCGTGAAAGTCAGGGCATTTTTCTATTTAACTTTGGACATTTTCAGAATGCACGATGTATATGTTATCACTGCTGAGTTCACATACCAAGCAGATATCCTTCTCGCCAAAAGATACTTTGGTTTTCTTGGGATTTTTAAGTTGTTAAATTAATAATACTTTGAAATGCCTGAATTATGCTGTAATCGACCTTACAGCAGAACAGTATAAAAAATTTAAAGCGTCTAGAAATAGCTCAGTTGCAAGCAGATTTAGGGAAAATTTTTTTCTAATGCGAAGTCACCAGGAGTACATAGTCAAATGCTAGTGGTCACATATTACTTTGTTCTTTGTTTGCCCTGCACTTAGGTGACACACATTTACTGAACTCACATGTAAATTATTCTCACATATAGAGGTGTACCTGAAGGATTTTAAAAGATGTAGGTTAAAAAGCTTTATTATCCTTGAAAGCAGTATCTAATGAGCACCAGATTGGAGCCACTGAATCCATTAATTCCAGATAGAATTATTCAAAATAGCCACAGATTCTAGAGGTTTTACTTCATGAGTGAGACAGTATAAAAGGATGACTAGGAGATGGTGGCAGTAGAGGATTGTCTCCTCTTGTTTATACAGCTCTCCAGGTAGACTAATCTCAGAAGTCAGAGCTCATTTTTCCCAACTTTTCCACACTACTTTTTTGATACTTACAGCAAGACTGTAGCCATACAAGGAATAGTTCTCTCTCAGTACAGCTGTGAGTAGCAGCTCTCAATGGGGGCAGCTTTGCCCTCCAGGGGACATTTGGCAGTTGAGACATTTTGGGTTGTCAGAGCTGGAAGGATGCTACTGACATCTAGCAAGAAGCCCTGAATTCTGTTGGATATCCTACAGTGCACAGGCCAGCCCTCTACCACAAAGAATTAATCTGACCTAATATGTTCATAGTGCTGAGGTTGAGAGACCCTGTTCTAAGTAAAGCCAGTGCCTATAGCTATAGAGAGGTAGCTTAGTTACTGTTTTTCCTCCTAACTTGGGTTCACTTGCTAATTACTAGTCTGTTTATCTCGTTATGGGGGGGAAAATCCATTGTTAAAAATAAAATTCGTGATTTGGTTCAAAATATTGCATACAAGTGTTTTGTTTGCCAGTGTGAAAGCCTCCCTTTTTTTAAGAGCCTTTGAGCTAGCTCATATTCAAAAGCAGTAGTAAAAAGAGACCAACTATGTGGTTCAGCAGTTGAAGGCACTTGTGATCAAGCCGTCACTGACAACCTGAGTTTAGTCCCTGGAACCCATAGGGAACCAACTCCTGTAAGCTATTCTCTTGATTTCTACATGAGCCATGGCAGGCACACCTGCACAGACACATAAACTAATAAATGTAATTTTTTAAGTTTAAAAAAAAATCCCACACACAAAAATAAATTCATATTTTTTTAAAGTGACCAGTTATTTTTTATGCTTCTTTGCAGCTTCAAGAGCAAAAAAGCCAACTCAGTTTTCTGGGAAAATAACTGTTAAAGCAAAGGAAAAGAGTTATTCTAAACTCGAAATACCATATCAAGCAGAAGTTCTAGATGGGTGAGTTTCATCTTAAAATAAGCTTTTAGTCATTTTCCTACTAAATAGCATTAGCAAAAACCATGTCCAAGTTTACCTAACCCAGTGGGATTATTGCTGAAGAGAACTACCTCAGCTATAAAGGAAAGCCTGTATCTTGTTTATTTCTGCCTTTCTAGCATGAAAAAAGTGGAGTAGTATGATTTTTGTTTGAAGATTTAATGATTCCAAAATGTATCTATGACTTTTAAGCAATTAAATCACTTAAACCATTTTCTGTCATTTTTGTAACATGCAAGAGGTTGTTTCTTGCTACTCAAGTATTCTCTGACTTGAAACAAATCATTTGTATTCCTTTATAAACTCATAAATACCTCTGGAATTCCAAGTTTTTATAAATGGCCACTGAACTGTAACTTTTTCTCTCATTGTACTTCAACCAATTAGTGTTGTATTCCTACACAACCTGATAGGTCCTGTTATGAGGCTGGGGGCAGTTTCAATGGTAAATATGATTTTCTTCAAAGTACATTAGCCTTTCCTATTGGTACATTCTTGAGTACTACTAGTGATCTGATTTTATATAATTAAATAGGGAACCATTCTTTCTATTACATTTCAAGATTTTTATAATCTAAATTTTGCTTTAAATCTTGTGGCCAAGTTATATAGTTATAAAAACAAATCATTAAAATACTCTAGTTCTACTTCTGTAATACAGTCCTTAACACTGAATATGAGTTGTTACTCGTAACAAAAGAGTTTAAATTAACACATGGAAATGAAGCCGATTTGTTCGGCCAGGCGTGATGGCACACACCTTTGATCCCAGCACTCAGGAGGCAGGGGCAGGCTGATCTCTGTGAATTCGAGGCTAGCCTGGTCTGCATAGCAAGTTCCAAGCCAACTGGGGCTACAGGGAGAACCTGTCTCAAAAATACAAAAAAAAAAGAAAAGATAGATGATTTGTTTTGTTTTCTTTTTCTTCAAATAGTTACTTGGGATTTGACCATGCCGCAACGCTGTTTCACATCCGAGATAGTCCTGCTGATCCTGTGGAGAGGCCAATTTACCTGACTAACACCTTCAGTTTTGCCATCCTCATTCATGATGTGTTGTTACCAGAAGAAGCCAAAACAATGTTTAAAGTATGTCTGGCTCCTCGGGCTTTTTATCTTGCTGCTGTACCAACTAGATGATACTAACCTTTGCTTTTTCTCTCCTGTGATTCCCCAGGTTCACAACTTCAGCAAACCAGTTTTAATTCTTCCTAATGAATCGGGATACATTTTTACCCTGTTTTTTATGCCATCTACATCATCCATGCACATAGATAACAACATTTTACTTGTTACCAATGCTTCTAAATTTCATTTACCTGTGCGGGTATACACAGGCTTTTTAGACGTAAGTGTGTTGTCTGACTCGAATCTTTGTGCTTTCAGATGTTACTAGGCAGTTGTGTTACACACTTGGGTTTTGCTTTTATCTGTGCCTCACACATTGATCTAATTCCTTCCCACTCAGTACTTTGAAGACATAGTAGTCCTATCATGCCCCCTGACCCAGAGTCCCCAGTGAATTCCTGAAACCAGGGATCATATCAAATGCTACATTGCTGCCCTTCAGTGTACAAGGGAGATTGCTTCCAGATCTACTGCAGATGCCCAAATCCATGGATACTCAAGTCCCTTATATAAAACTGTATAGTATTTGTAGATAATAAAATCCATGGATCTACATAATATGGAGAGCTGACTATATATATTGTGTTTTTTTCTCTACATACCTATGACCAAATTTAATTTATATATTAGGCACAGTAAGAGACCTATTAGCAAGAATAATAGTAAAATAGAACATCACAAAAGTATAACACAGTATACAGTAATGAAATTATTATTTTCAGCTTTTCACTTAAGGAAATCACATGGTAGCTTTTCTTTGGCACATTTGAATTGCTGGCATCACTATCCTTGCACTTTGGGGCCTTTATTGAGTAAAATAAGGGTTACTTGAACACAGGCACTGTGCCACCACAGCAGTTTTTCTGACAGTTGAGGTGAATGATGACTAGATAGTGTATACAGCATGGATATACAGCAGAGGAAGAATTGATATCCATGATGGGACTGCACAGGACTTCATTGACTGCTTAGAGTAACATGCAATTGAAAACTTATAAGCTATTTGTTTCTGGAACTTTCCCTTTAATACATTTGGACCATGGTTGACTCATCTTTCTTCATGCTACAGTTGATCTCTGGTTACAGTCTCTGCCTAAAGCTTTTCCACATTCTGCTTTCCTTGATTTATTTTTTAAAGTATAATGACAGGAAGTCTAAAATAGAACTAAATGGAAGAAAATTAGTGGGGAGGGGGTAATATAAGGAGGATAAAGAGATAACTTTGTTTGAGTGAAGTCAGAAAATATTAGGACAAAGAAAAGAACCAGCAGGGGAAGAAGAAAAATAGATGGTAAAAGCACATTTAGGTAATTAAGATAAATATAACACAGAAAGAAGGAATAGAGGTCTTCCTAGTACAGAAATGAACAGAAAAAAAAAAAAATCCAAGCAAAGCTTGGTGAGCTGTGAACAATGAAAGGGTTTTGGGTAAGTGATAAAACTCTTGGGAAGAATAAAGAGAAAAGTGGAACATATGTAGTACTCCCCAAAACTCAACATCAATTAGAGCTGTTGAAGGAACCTCAGTATTACCCCACTCCAGTTATTTTACTGATTACTTATTTGCAATCATTCATGGTGCCTACTGAGACCACAGGCTTTGTCTGATTGCCCAGGGCTCCACTAGTCCTTCCTCTCAGTTCCTTCAGAGAAGCAGCCGCTCAGTGGAGTGCCTGCATCCACTCCTAACTGCGCTGATTGTCCACAGACAATTCTCAGCTGTGTTCTGTGTGTATGTGTGTGTGTGTGTGTGTGTGTGTGTGTGTGTGTGTGTGTGTGTGTGTGTGTGTACACGCAGATGCGGGAGAAACGAGCATAGCTTAATATGGTCACTTTCTTTGATAGCGTTCTGTACACAAATGTGGTTTTATGTTTAATACAGTTCTTTTGTATCCTTCTAGTACTTTGTATTGCCCCCCAAAATAGAAGAACGTTTCATAGATTTTGGAGTACTGAGTGCTACAGAAGCAAGTAATATTTTATTTGCAATTATAAACAGCAATCCAATTGAGGTAAAAAAAAAATTCATTTGTTCTAAATCGGCATTTGAGGATTTTGTGTTTGTGTTGCGTATCACTTTCCTATTTTCTCTTTTTTTAAGTTGGCTATAAAAAGCTGGCACATCATAGGAGATGGTTTATCAATAGAACTTGTTGCTACAGAAAAAGGCAATAGAACTACAATAATTTCAAGCCTCCCAGAGTTGGAAAAAACCTCTTTACCTGACCAGTCATCAGTAAGTAAGCATTCTTACTGTTTCCTTAAGATGTTCAAACTAGAAATAAAAGAACATTGCTGTAATGCACAACTCAACAAATATTTTTGTGTGGTTGATCATAGCACTGACTGATATTGAAAGAACCTTGCAGAGATGATCTGCTCTAGTCCTCTCCTTTTATGCCGAGGGCACTGAAAACCAAAGAAGTTAAGGTCTGCCTTGTCATAAGTTATATAACACATAAAATTTAAATTATGACAGTGTCATTACAGGAGGGATTGTCATTCATTAGACAATATTCTAATTTAAAATAGTCTGTACTTGATGATGTGGTAATTTGGTGTCATACTGGTTGGTATCTGTGGGATACAATTTATCACCAGAGTGTTCCTTTCTACTTTATAGGAAGCTTGAACTTGGAAAACTAGTGAATAATGTCATTTTTACTATATGCAGGTAATGTTAGCTTCCGGATATTTTGCAGTATTCAGAGTCAGACTTACTGCAAAAAAACTGGAGGGGATTCATGATGGTGCCATACAGATCACAACGGACTACGAGGTAAGCACTTTCCTGGGCTTTCATGCCAGTGGGTTTTTCTGAATACTCAATCTTTTGGGTGTTATTCATTGTCATGTTTATGGGCTTTTTACTTTTTATAGAAACAGAAGACTGCATTTACTCAGTTAGTTTACCATGCCTTATAAATTGAGTTTTGAGGAATCATTTTCAGAAGACTGGTGTTCATTACCTCCCAGCTTTCTGCTAAAACTCATATTTAGTAACTCAAAAAATGCAGCTTCAAAAAATTGCCCTTAGCACATTTAGAATTTCCCTATTTAAAAATATTTGATTTATTTTTATTTTATGTATATAAGTTTATTGCCTGCTTGTGTGTAAGTGCACCCGTATCATGCAATGCCCAGGGATGTCAGAAGAAGGCCTAGAATTCCCCTGGAACTGGAGTTACGGACGGTTGTTAGCCGCCACGTGGTTGCTGTGAATCAAACCTGGGTCTTCTATAAGAGCAGTCAGTGTTCTTAACTGCTAAGCCATCTCTCCAGCCCATGAATTTCCCTATTTAAAAACCTGCCTACAGAAGTTATTGTGTAACACAGTGCCTAATTGGATTCCTGAGCTACATGTCTGATTCAGGAGTCACAAACGTCCTCCTTTGTAATGTTTCTAAATACACTTATATTTACAAGACATTCTTTCAGAAGAGTGCCATCCAGGTTTTTAAACTCTGTGGAGTTTATGTTGGATTCAGTAAGACTGACTTTGAATGCATGTATTTCTGCCATATACACATGCACCCTCACACACTCACACTTGCCTTCTCTTTCAGGTGTTTTTGAGACGTAGCCCCAGCTGGCCTGGAGCTTGCTATGTAGATCAGGCAAGCCTGGAACTCAGAGAGATCCTCCTGCCTCTGCCTCCCAAGTGCTGGGATTAAAGGCATGTGCCACCATACCTGGCTCATACTTTACTTTTTGAGAAAAGGACTGGAACTCAATTTATAGTCCAAGCAAACCTTGAAGTTGCAATCTTCCTGCTTAAACACTTCAAGGGCTACGATTACAGGTATAGGTATAAGATTATTGGCCTGCCTCAGACCTAAATATTTTTAGTTTAGTATTTAAAAGCTCTTTGGACAGTTGAACACGATAAATTCAACAGTTTACTATCCTTGTCCTCCTGTGTGTTTTCAGCATACACAATCCTCATAAGGAAGAACTTAATTGCAAAATAAGCAGAATTTGCTATTTAATAATAAATGGCTTGTTGGGAATGTATCATATTACCTCCAAAAGTGAGAAATTCATGCTTAACTTTCAAGTTAGAAGTAGTACTTTTCAGAATTAAGACAAGTTTTTGTGAAATGAATGAAAATAAAAATAAAACAAATATTTTCACATATCACTGTATCAATAGCTCACTTGTGATGCTGAGTGTGAGGTAGCAGTCTAACTTAGAATGTTTTACTTGATTTCAAAAATTGGGTTGATATCGATCTCTGTGGACCAAAAAATACTGAAAAATCTATCTACAGAAAATTTTGAATTTTTTTTTTTTCCCTGTAGCCTCAGCTAACCTGGACCTCATTGTGTAGACCAGGCTGACCTTGAACTCACAGAGATCCACCTGCCTCTCCTGGGATTAAACCACATGTATTACTACACCTGGCTGAAAATGCTGAAGTTTTATAGGCATTGTTTTTAGGAGTAAAACTTTACTTTTTAATCTCTATAAAGTATTTTGAAAAATCTTTCTTCAGTCCTTCTCTGTTAGTTGGTCTTAATTATGTTTTCCGCAAATAAATAAGGAGTAGTACATGAAAATGTATTGTTTTCCTTATGTCTTATTGGACATTGGACAGATTAAACTTTCCAGGATGGTTTTAATTTTGGTTTTGAAGCATTTCCAGTATAAGACTTAAAAATGAGCTTTATTTTTTTTTTAACCTCTGAAACAATGAAGTAATTGTCACAATCCATCCCAGACTTTCACCTTGATTTCATGATGGTTTGCCTCTTCACTCCACAGATCCTCACCATTCCTGTGAAGGCTGTGATCGCAGTGGGCTCGCTGACCTGCTTCCCAAAGCATATGGTTCTTCCCCCTTCCTTTCCAGTAAGACAGTTTACAGACTTCTTGTTCTAGTTGTTTTCCTTTGCCTTTACCTCTATGTTTATAGAATTCAACAGGAAAGTCACTTATTCTTTCTGGATCATTTATTGTAAAGCAAAGCATTGCACTAGGTTTTTTAGAAGATGTCAAGCAAAATAAGAAATAAATAGACCCTTCCCTTAAAAAGATTTTCTATGTGGAATAAGAAATGAACCCTTGATTCATAGATATAAAGCAGGGTTTAGAAACTGCCTAAAAAGAATAAAATCAAAAGGGTTTTGTTTTCAGAAATGCCCACGTCATTAATAAAGACACTCTGCAGCCTAACTTAGAATTTCTTCTAACGGACAGAAAAGGGACAACAGAGACTTACACATCTAGGACCAGGGAAAAACATCAGCGAAGGCAGGAGGCAGTGAAGTCTGAGATGGATCCAGTCAGTATTGAATTGGCCAATTTGACAAGAATGAAGTTTTAAGAGAAAATAGAATGGTACATTGGAGTAGAAGCCTAAAGAAAGTTAAGTCCATAGAATCTAAAGTTTTTGAGCAGAGGCTTAACATCATCAGTGCTGGGCTTTAAAGATTGGGTCTGTGCCAGAAGGAAATACACGACACATGTGGAAGACTGTGGGCTTCCTGGCCCCAGCCCAGATGGTGCCTGGGGCACACAGGAAAAGCCATGGGGAGAGTTGAGCTGCCAAAGACCATGGTAGAGACAGCCAAGCCTTTCCTGCCTCCACGCCTCTGCTGTTTAAAAGGAATGGAAAAACAGAAGCCGAAAAAATCTTCATGGTTTGTGTATTTTTATACGTACACAAACACATTTATAGTATCATTTGAAAAGTGCCCTCTTGCTGCAGAAAAGTAGTTAATTGAAGTAAAAATGTTTCTGTGTGCCATCCGAAAAATCGCTAGAATTAAAAACTTTTTATTTAGCTTGATAAGTTGTCTAGGTACACATGTGCAACAGATTTAAAAATCATCTCCAAAGAACATTATTTTGCAGTAGTGTGCTATTTTTTAATGCTTAAAAAGGAGAAAAAGCCAGGCGTGGTGGCGCACACCTTTAGTCCCAGCACTCAGGAGGCAGAGGCAGGCGGATCTCTGTGAGTTCAAGGCCAGCCTTGTCTACCTAGTGAGTTCCAGAACAGCTGGGGCTACAGGGAGACCCTGTCTCAAAAAGACCAAAAAACAAAAAAGAGAGCGAGAAAAAAAGAGACTGGAGAGAAGGGCTCAGCAGTTAAAAAGCACCGGCTGTTCTTGCAGAGGACCAGGGTTCCATTCACAGCACCCACATGGCAGCTACCAACTGTTCATAACTCCAGTTCCAAGGGATCCAGTGCCTTCTTCTGACCTCCTCGGGCATTGCATGACACCAATGCACTTATGCACATGCAGGCAAAACACTCATACACATAACAAATAAAAATAATAAATTAAAAGAGAAAAAAATCAATTCACAGATTTACATAGGTTTTATTCACTAGGAAGAATTTCTTTTATTTCAAACAAAGTCCAACAGAGTTGACTATCTTTCCTACATATAAATCAGTAACTATATTTACATAATCAGATCTGCACAAATAAAGGTGTCTGGTTATACACATAAAACTGAATCTAGGAAATATTTATTATAAAGCTTTTATTTCTAGGGGCTGAGGAGATAGCTCAACAGCGAAGAGCACTAGCTGCTCTTACAGAGGACCTGGGTTCAATTCCCAGCACCCACATGGGGGCTAACAACCATCGGTAACCAGTTCCAAGTGACTGATGCCCTCTTCTGACCTCTGCAGGCACTGCACAACACAGGTGCACCTATCTGCATGCAGGCATTACACTCATACACATAAAGTAAAAATAATTATATATTTATATACATATATGTATGTGTGTATGTGTGTATTTTTGGTCTTTTTTGAGGCAGGGTCTCACTGTAGCCCCAGCTGACCTGAAATTCACTATGTAGACCAGGCTGGCCTTGAACTCAAAGAGATCTGCCTGCCTCTGCCTCCTGAGTGCTGGGACCAAAGGCATGCACTACCATACCTGGCCAAAAATACTGAAACATTTTAAATAAAGCTTTTATTTCTAGATGGAATCAATATCTTTTTAGTGAGTTAATTTAAATATGATTAAAATTTTGGACTGGTGAGCTAGAAAGATGGGTCAGCAGTTAAGAACACTGGTTGTTCTTGCAGAAGACCCAGGTTCGAATCCCAGCATCCACATGGCAGCTAACAACTGTACATAACTCCAGTCCCAGGGGATCCAACAGCCTCTTCTGACCTCCCGGGCATTGCACGACATGGGTGCACTTACCTATATACAGGCAATACACGCATACACATAAAAATAATAAATTAATTAATTCAAAAAAAATTTTGGACTGGTGAGATGGCTCATTGGATAAAAGTGCTTGCCACCAAGCCTTAGGACTTGAGTTCGATTCCTGGAACCCATGTGGTGGAAAGAGAGAACCAACTCCAGCAAGTTGTTCTCAGATCTCCACATGCATTCCATGGCACATGTACCCACCACATATACACAAGTAAAATAAATGTAATCACCATTTTTTAAGACTAAATTTTTAAAGTTTGTAGTATAGGTTGTTTAATAGAAATCTAAGGATTCAAAGATTTCTTGACTAACCATTACTAGTTTCATATGTGATTCTAGAACACTTTGAGATTCTTTTGCAGCAATCCTTATGTTATGCAGTAAGTATTCCCTTACAAGTAAATCTCCCCAATGAGTTTCTGAGTCCTCTAGGAAAGAAATTAGTAGATAATAGATGTGGGAGGAAACAAAATAATGGAGCAAGAACATAAACGAGACGTTTCACATGAGTCATTTTAACTCGAGTATCTTGATAAGGTCAACAAATTGAGGCAAGTAGGGGGAAGTGAGTAGAGGACTTAAAACTATTCTCAGAGTTTGAGCCTTGAGAAAGAAGAAAAGAAATGAACATGCCATGCTAGCTTCTGCAGGAAGATTCGGGACGCTTTTGGGACGGTGTGTAGGTAGGTATGTCTTCCTGGACTAGAGGTCTAGTGGGTAAGAGAGTCAAGACATTGCAAAATGTGAATGCTGTATATAATAAAGCCTAAGTTCAAGATTTAGCTCCTTTAAAATAGCCAGCCTGGTCTACATAGCAAGTTCCAGGCCAGCTATGGGTACATAGTAAGGTTCTGTTTTACCAAATAAATAAATAAATTTTGAATTAATATATTTAACATTTAACTTTGGATTAGAATTAAAACACCTTCCTGCCACTCCACTTTGTCATAACTATATATTAAATTCTTACCTTTTTATTAATCTATGAACACCTTCTTCCTTCAGAACACTGATCTCCTTCATCTCTGCATAAATCCAGCTGAGAATATTTCAGTTTAGAAAAGCAGGAGACATACTAAAAAGGCCCTTGGATAGAGTAAAAGAAATTGTCCAAACTTCTGAATATCTTTAGATGCCTGGATACTTGGAATTAGATACTTGGAATTACAAAATCCTATCTCGCACACATGCACCCTATCTGGTTCCCCAACTCTCCTTGGTTTTGGTGTAGACCAGGCTGGCCTCAATCTCTCAGAGATCTGCCTGCCTCTGCTGGGATTAAAAACATGTACCACCACCAGGCCTGGCTGTTCCCACACTCTTTTTTTGAGGCAGGGTCTCACTGTGTATTCTAGACTGGCTTTCAACTGGCAGAGATCCTCCTGCCTCATCCTCCTGAGTCCTGAGATTGGAGGGGGTAGCTTAATGACAGATTTAAAGATCATCAACTGATGAGAATTTTGGGTGTCTCTATCTGAAAATTTAACTGTATACAACTGAGTTTCTTTGTTTTTCTTCCTTCAGGGGAAAATAGTTCATCAGAGCTTAAATATTATGAATTCCTTCTCACAGAAGGTGAAGATACAACAAATTCGATCTTTATCAGAAGATGTTCGATTTTACTACAAACGATTACGGGGTAATAGGGAAGACTTGGAGCCAGGGAAAAAATCAAAGGTTTGAAATTGTTATATTTGAGAATCCCATCTGTCAGGATTTTGTTTCTGTGACCACCTACAGATTGAGGACTCACTGGCTCTCCTGTACTTCCTTATAGATTGCAAACATTTATTTTGATCCTGGGCTGCAGTGTGGGGATCACTGCTACATTGGCTTACCTTTTCTACCCAAGTGTAAGTTATCCTGCACCTTCATCTTTCACTTTCCCCACCAAAGACTTACGCTAATACAAGGCTGCCACATTTTAGTTATCCCCTGCCTCAGACTAGTATAGAAGGAAGGTTTGCAAGTGGGTAAAGGTGTGTAGTTCAGTCTCTTGACTTGTGCCTTTTTTCTTAGCGGAACCCAAAGTGCAGCCCGGGGTGGCCATGCAGGAAGACATGTGGGATTCCGACTGGGATTCACATCAGAGCTTATTCAAAGCTTGGATGGGAATAAAAGAGAATGCCGGTCATAGGTACGTGCCTCTGCTTTGTTGAAGCATTTTAGCAATCCAAATTTGGAAACATCTCAGTTGTTACGACTTTCTAAGTGTCATTGTATTTTTATGGTAGGTTATTCTTTTTTATAACTAAGAAAATGGGCCTAATCTTCAGAATGTTATTACCTAGATTGTTATTGCCAGAACACGCTGCTTAGAGTATGCATGCTCCATGTTTTCCTTTTCTCCGGTGCTTTTAAGGAACCTCCTTAAATATCAAAAAACTGTTCGAAATTGTCTCTATGTAGCATGACTATCGTGTTCATTTTCTGCATGTCCTATGTGTAAGAAAAAGATTTTCCTGCCTCTGGCCTCTATGAAAGGCAAACTAGGCTTACTCCCAATGGGAGACTGAATTTCTTTGCTCCTTCCAAATGCTGGGCTGGTGCAAGGCACACAGGCCCCTCCAGTGGGCTCCCTATTGCGTCTTTGCAGATAGAAGATATGCTGATGGCAAAATCAGTAGTGCGCCAGTATTCAACCTCAAAAGTGTATTTTTTGATATTTGAGAAGCCTGGCCCTTTCATATACTTCAGAGAAGAATTTGTCCAGAAAAACAATAACATACGACAAGTAATAAAAAAGTTGCCTTTCTCACTTGACTGACTTGTATATTTGTCAGAATTGAGATACTCTGCCTTAAGAGTACAATAAAATTCTTAAACCATTAATTATTTTTTAACTTTTTTGGTTAGTATACAAAGAAGTGGTTTTCTTTGTGACATTCCATACACATATGTCATTATACCTTGCTCTTATTCACTCCTTCCCACTATGCTGCTTCTACCCCTCTCTTGTTGGTCTCCATCCTCTCCCCAGAGGGACCCTCCTCCTGCTTTCATGACACACATTCTGTTACCTTTCTTTTACCCTTTTTTCCTTCCTAACCTCTTCCCCTCATGTATATGCATAGACACATACATATACATATATATATATTCCACAAATAAGAGAAAAATGTAGTATTTGTCTGAGTCTAGCTTATTTCACTTAACATAATTTTCTCTAGTTACATCCATTTTCCCACAGATGTCATAATATCCGTCTGTATAAAATTCCATTGCGTATATGTGCCATGTATTCTTTCCATTCATCTGTTGGTGGGCATCCAGGCTGATTACATATCTGGACTGTTATAAATAGTGCAGGAGTAAACATGGGCTTACAAGTATCTCTGTAATGTGCTGACTTAGATTCCTTTGGGTATGTCCCCAGGAATAGTACAGCTTGATGATAGAGGATATTTATACTAAATTATATATAGTAGTTCTGTTGTTAGGTTTAGTTTTTTTAGGAACCTCCATACTGATTTCCATAGTATCTACGTAAGTTTACATCACCACCAGCAATATCTAACGGTCCTTCTTTCCCCCTCCTCACCAGTGTTTGTTGTCGTATTTCTGTTCTTGATGATAGCTACCACTCTGACCGAAATGAGACATATTCTCAAAGTATTTTTAATTTGTATTTCCCTGATAAATAAGGATGTTAAACATTTTTTCCAATATTATTGGCCATTTGGATTTGATTTTTCTTTTGAAAGCCATTTGTACAGTTCATCTATCCACTGGATGGTTTTCAAACCATTAACTGTTGAATCATAAGTATGGAGATATTCAAATGAACTGACATCCTCATCACATGAAGATTTTATCTGGGCTTTATATCTGTCTAGAAAGAAAAATGTGTCAAACAGTACACCACTTTCTCATTCTATCGAAAATACTCTTAACATCCCTTTAGGGATGTCTATATCCTTCCCATAGGTATGTCATGTAAGAATCTTTAAAACCCTCAAATGCCATATGTTATCTGTGTATGCATGCCTTTTCTAAATATTATATCATTCACGTTTTCTTACTGAAGTTAATACTTTAAAAAAAATTTTAAGACTTGGCTGGGGGTGTAGCTCATTGGTGGAGTGCTTGCCTAACTTGCAAAAGGCCCTGGGTTTAGTCCCCAGCACCACCAGAAAAAAATTGTTTTGAAGACTTACACGGGATTACACTAATGCTATTGGAACTAAGCTTGTCATCCTTTATGTATTCTATACAAAAACAATACAGTTGATTTCTGATATTTTGACAGTTCTTTGTACCAAAGTAGAGCCATTATCATGTAACATTAAAAGCTTAATAAAGTTGCATGTCCAGCCTGCAAAACGAGCTCCCAGACTCAGGGAAGATCGATGAAAAAGGCAGAAAAAACACAGAGCTGGAGGAAATGGGGGCAGTGGCATTGAACACTGACTTCTGAATATGGCATGGCTGTGGCACTCTTGAATGTACAGCATCTGTGATTAGCTGCACAGGATTGGGCCTGTCAACATCCTGTTGTGGAATGGAGTGAGGCTCAATGAGGGTTTATATGCAGATAATGGTTGAAATGAAATGAAATGAGAGACATTTTCTTCAGTGGTGCAGCCACTGGTAACGTGCCTGTGCTCCTGTAAACAAACTCCCACGCCCATGCTCCTGTGAACTAGCCTAAGGAAACTCATTGGCGCGCGCACGCAGAGAAAGACATGAAAATAGAAGGGGAGGGCTACTTGGGAAAAATGGGATTAACAGAAGTGGGAGGGGAAGAATAAAAATACAACCAGTCCCAGTGTTATGTATAATCAGTATATGCTAATGATGTTGTAGACTATGATATTTAAATTTAAAGTTAAAAGAAGAAAAAGCTTAGTAGAATATGAGAATGAATAAACCTTTTTTTTTTTTTCAGGACCAGAAAAAAATATTTCTCAAGTACAATTCCTTATGAATTTCTTAGGCTTAGAAAATCCAAATGTTTCATTTTTATGCAATGACTCACAAATTGTTTTTCTAGACTGAATGCTATATTCGAAGTAAATACTGACCTTCAAAAAAACATAGTATCAAAAGTCACTGCTGAACTCTCCTGGCCTTCCATACTTAGCTCACCCCGGCATGTGAAGTTCCCACTCACTAATACAAACTGCTCTTCAGTAAGTATTCAGAGTGATGTTAGCTTTCAAATATGTAATAGGATTATTAAATAGTTACTTTTACATTTATCTACGGAAGTCTTTCATTTGTTGTATCTTTGTTTTGTTTTAAGGAAGAAGAAATTACCTTAGAAAATCCTGCGGATGTTCCTGTCTATGTTCAGTTTATTCCTCTAGCTTTATATTCCAACCCTTCAGTTTTTGTAGATAAGTTAGTCTCAAGGTAAGCATTGGGTGAAACAGTCAAAGTATAAACTTAGAGTGTGACTTTGTAATTGAAATTGAGAGGTGAGTTCCACAACTGGCCGCACACAGAGATTGTCTGTGAATTGCCCAGCCTAAATGGCACATCTAGAATGCAACCTCTACACCTGAGGCTCATGATGAGAACATAGAACAAGGGATGAAGAGAACACTAATGCATCTTTCAGTTCTCATCAGTGACGCTCCCTCGTGCAACAGAGGACCAGGAACTCAAAAGGTCACAAATGGCCAAAACACAGAGAATGAGAATGTGGGTCCGTGGACAGGACTCCTATATTAAAATCCACCCACCCAGAGACCTCAGGAACCATTGCAGAAGAGGGGGCAGAAAGATTGTAAGAGCCAGGGAGGAGGTACATGACCATATGGAAATGGATCCTACAGGCTCCTGGGACTCTTCACATATAAACCTACAGCGATGGTGTCAGCATGCACAAGATCCATGCAGACTTAAGCAGATAAAAACCTAGCACAGAACTGTGGAAATGGACAGCAGGCCTCAATCTTAGTCAAAGAATTATTGGCAGCTGATTTCTGCTGGGTGAGAATGAGCTGATCTTCTTAAAGGGAGAGACTCTAGATAGAGTGACTAGATCCCAGTGGATCAACTTGGACTGAGGGACATCTGGGGACACTAACTGTATATGATAGGCCTTAACACAGGTGACAGAAGGTATGAACTCCAGTGGGTGGGGAGGGGGAGATGCCAAATGGGAAGGGAGTATAAAGATGAATTTCTGTATGAAATACATAATTATTCAATTTTTAAAATTTTAAGCTCTTTTATTAGAATTTTAAAGAAAAAGAAATCCTCAGGACAGGCGAGCTGGTAATCTTGGCAGCTGCCTTGAGGAGGAGGTCAGACATGTGGCTGACTGGCAGCCACATGGCTTGGGGAAAGAAGCTTTAGAGAAAAAGTAAAGAAATGCAAGATGTTAGGGGCAGCCCAAAGCCTTAAAGCATGTTTAGTAAGAAAGGCGTGAAGAAGAAAAGGGAAAATTACACTTCCCTGCGGATAGTAACTCTACATGCTAGGCCTTAACACAGATGACAGAAGGTATGAACTCCAGTGGGGGAGTGGGGTTACGGGAGGGTGCCCAAAGGGGAAGGGAGTATAAAGATGAATTTCTGTGTGAAATACACAAAAATTCAATTAAAAAGAATTTTTTTAAGAAATTTGAGAGAAGGTTCAGGGAGAGGAGTTGGTATAGCATTAAGCATCTAGAAAAGCTTTCAGTTGAGTGTAAATCGGAGCTGCCTCTAACAAATTTGGAAAGAGACAACGAGCAGAGCAGTCTAGTGTTTTCATTTTATAAAGTAATTGGGGGCTAGAGAGGTGACTCGGCAGATAAGAGCACTGACTGCTCTTGCAGAGGACCCGGGTTCGGTTCCCAGCACCCATGTAATGGCTAATAACCATCCGTAACTCCAGTTCCACGGGATCTGATGCCTTCTTCTGACCTCCACAGGCACTACACAGCAGAGGTGTACTTGCATGCAGACAGTACACTCATACACTTAAAATGAAATAAAATTAATAAAGGCTGGGCATGGTGGCACACGCCTGTAGTCCCAGCACTTGGGAGGCAGAGGCAGGTAGATCTCTGTGAGTTCAAGGCCAACCTGGTCTACATAGTGAATTCCAGGCCAGCTGGGGCTACTGGGAGATCCTGTTTCAAAAATAAATAAATAAATAATATTTTTAAGTAAGTGAATAAGATTTACTTTATAAGTTACAACCTCTAACATTTTAATGACTGTTAATGTGGTATAATGATTTTGGTCCCAAAACCTGACAAAAGAGAATCTGCAAATAAAGCACAAGCTTGCTCAGAACTCCAAATCCCCTTAATTGTGATGCTGTTTATTAAGATGCACATGTACATTTTTTAATTTTAGGTTTAACTTGGGTAAGGTGGCAAAACTAGATTTGAGAACACTAGAATTCCAAGTCTACAGAAACAGTGTAAGTATTCAAACTTCATACTGTTTGTTCTCTACTATGATCAGGGCAAATGTGAAAGAAACTTAGCATTTATAAATTTGGCTGACGGGAAATTTACTAAAGAAGTCAAAGCTAGCCTGTAGTTATTTTAGAGGCAAAGGAAGCCAGGAAGAATGAGTAGGATTAGAGGGTTCTTCTTCTTTGTGGGTGTTAACTTTACAGTAAGCCCATCAAGGTTTGTCATAATAGTTGCTAGAAATTCTGAGATTATATACACTATATACATGAAGTGTATACTAATACTTGATTTTATTCTCATTAAGTATCAAAATTCAGCTGAATCATTTGAATTTTTCTTTCTGTATGTTTTCTAATAAAGTGGCAAAGCCTTATGACTATGAGATCTACGACTGGCAGTATTTATACTGGGTACCCAGTAGTATGCATGCTCTACCTCAGTATATAATCTTAAAAATGAGTAAATACATCCCATTTGTTCTAGGAACCAGATTGTTCTCTAGCATTCAGGTTAAAAAAAAAAAAAAAAAAAAAAAAAAAAAAAAAAAAAACAAAATTGCATTAGGCTGTTATGTGGGGTGTGTGTCAGCCAGGAAGGCAGCACCAGGAGCTAAAGCCCTTGTAGACTGGCTAGGGTCTCTTGGCTTCACTGCCCTTCTGCCTAGGGCCAAATTCAAGTCTAGTCCTTTCAGATCCCAGAACCCTTGTCTTTACCATTGTACCATGTGATTGTTGCTGTTGAGGAAGTGTTCACAGCCATAGCCTCATGTGATAAGGACTAGGATACTAAGCTGCAGTTCTGTCATGGATTCCAGTCTTGTGTCTTTCTTTTGGAGCCTTTCTGTGTTTTACTTTTCCCACCCATACAATGCCATTGTAACAGTTAACTGGAGGTTATGAAAAAAGTTCTTTAACTAGAACTTGATTCCCCTACTTTTATCAGGGAAAAAATTACACATAAGAAGTACATCAGTAGGGCTGGAGAGGTGCCTCAATTGTTAAAGTGTGTACTGCCCTTACAGAGGACCTGAGTTCAGTTTCCAGCACTCAGACCTGGTGACTCACAACTGTCTAACTCCAATTTCAGAGGATCTAACACCTGTGGCCTCCATGGACAACTGTGACTCACATAGATACACACACACACACATAATTTAAAATAGTAAAATCTTATCTTTAAAAAAGAATACCATGAGCTCTTTATTTTTAAATTTGATCCCAGACGAGTAGTATTTGCAAGATGTAACACACTGAACTAGGCTTTAGATAAGAAAATGAATGAGGAGCCAGAGAGATGGCTCAGTGGTTAAGAACACTGGCTACTCTTACAGAAGACCCAGGTTCAGTTCCAGAACCCACATGTTGACTAACAACCATCCATAACTTCCATTTCCCACACCCTCTTTTGGCCTCTGTGGGCATAGCATGCATAGGTGCACTTACATACATGCAGGTAAAACACTCATACACATAAAATTTAAATAAAATTTTTTAATTAAAAAAATGAATGAGTACTCTAGACCTCAGGGATTTATTTTAAATAAATTCTAGGGTTATGGGGCTGGAGTGATGGCTCAGCAGTTAAAAGCACTGGCTGCTTTTGTAGAGGACTTGGGTTTGGTTCCCAGTGCCTACATGGCAGCTAACAACCATCTGTAATTCCAGTTCTAAGGAATCCAACACCCTCTTCTGACCTCCGCCAGCATTGCATGACACAGGGGCACTTACACACATGCATGCAATACATTCCTACACGTAAAATAGTTTTTTTTTTAAATAAGATATTCTAGGGTTAAAACATGACTGATGAGTGAATGCTTTATACATACTTCCCTTTTTATCACATATGAATATTAGAGAGACATGAGTTCCATGTTGAAATTTAATAATGTTTTTTGTTGTTTAAACAAAGACTTTTTTCCTTACAAGTGCATGTCAGGGAAGCATACAGTGGCTGTGAGGGAGGTTTGACACCCACTGTCTCAGTTCACACTTAAGGGTCCACTTCTCTTTAGCTTCCACTGCTTTTCTGATGATCAGTGCAAACATCCACCTAGTGAAAAGCAAGTACTGTCTATATCATGAAAACCTTTTGACAAATGGATATCCTGAAAGGATCTCTGAGATGCACAGGACTTCCTAGGTCAGCCTTGTGAGCCACCACTATAAATTTATTGAACCCCTTAATGCCATCTCAGGCCATCACGGTATTCTGAAGTGTTCCCCAAGTTGTCAGAGTTTAAATTAGTCAGTGTTTATAGGAATATGCTCAGTCTATCATTATGTGCATAAATTACCAGAAATGTTTTATTTAAAAGAGAATTTACTGCAGAGCCAGACATGGAAGTGCATGCCCTTAGTCCCAGCACTCCAGAGGCAGAGGCAGGCTGATCTCTGGGAGTTCAAAACAAGTCTGCTCTACATAGTGAGTTCCAGGCCAGTCAGAGCTACAAAGTGAGACCCTGTCTCAAAAATAATTAAAACTGAAATATAAAAGGAGAGGGGGACTTACTCACCAGCCACTTTGAGCAATCAGTATTCTGTTGCCCTAGTAGACATCAGTACAGAACAATGTTAGGTGTAGAAGAAAAAAAAATTTACCTCAAAAGCAGGAGTTAAAAAGTAATGTACTTTTTAAAAAAATTTCATTATTTTTATTTTATGTGTATGAGTATATTGCCTGCTTGTATGTGAGTGCACCCATGTTGTGCAGTGCTGCGCAGGTCAGAAGAGAGCTTCAGATTCCCTTGGAAGTGGAGTTAAGGACGGTTCGTAGCCTCCAGGTGGGTGCTGGGAATTGAACCCAGGTCCTCTGCAAGAGCAGTCAGTGCTCTTAACCGCTGAGCCATCTCTCCAGCCCCCCCCCCAGAAAAGTAATGTACTTTATAAAGTCTGTTACTGTACATTATCATTAGTTGATTCATGCTAACACAGACCAGTCTGTATGTATTAACCCTTACCACACCAAGGGGAATAGAAACTGAAGTGGAGCTCAGTCTCCTATATGTCAGCAGTGTCAGACCAGCCCTTCCCCAGAACATTTAACGTTAATATGCTTTAAAAAAAAGAATCATGTATCTTTTATATGGGAACTAGGTTTTTTAATTTTAAAAAACTCAAAAAGAACAAAAATAAATAAATAAATAAACTCTTTATAGCTGATCATTAAAAAGACCTAATTTAAGTTTTAAGCCGGGCGTGGTGGCATACACCTGTAGCCCCAGCACTTGGGAGGCAGAGGCAGGCAGATCTCTGTGAGTTCAAGGCTAGCCTGGTCTACATAATGAGTTCCAGGACAGCTGGGGCTACAGGGAGACCCTGCTTCAAAAGAAAGACAAAAAAAAAGGTCCTATTTTAAGTTTTAAACTAAGTTATGCCTTAAACTTAAATCATCAAGTCTCTGTAAAGCAATAATTACATGCCTAATTTTCAAACTAAAATTGGAGAAATACGTTTATAGATAATAGATACACTGCAACCCTTTATTTGGCTCCCTTCAGAGGGAGGCAATGAGACAGCGACAGCTAGACTGCAGTATCAGCAGGACCTGGAGCTGCGAATTGTTAGTCACACTAGTGTTGGCTTTGTGTTAACACATCAAGCTATCTGTCTTAGGTCTGTCCTTTCCTGTACATGTGTTGCGTTTCAAATTTTTAAAGTTTTTAAAGATATTTTTTAAAGTTTTTAAATATATATGAATATAAATGCTTAGCACAAACATTAGGACTTTGGTAACCTGGGGAATAAAGCCTATTTTTTTTAACAATGCAGAATATGAGGTCTCCTTCTCAACATCCAGCTCTCAGTGCCAGTGTCTAAATTGTGATGAGTAAAGTCTGCATACAGTTTGAGAAGCTGTAACCAGGCTCTAGATGGGGTAAGGGAAAAAATGGCTTTTCCAGAAAATGTATTAATGACTCCTCTTTGTTTACACAATGATTCAAGGCTCATCCACTGCAAAGTTCAGCAGGATTTACAGAGGGCCTCTCTCGACATTTAATTTTAAACCTAATTTTAAAACCTGGAGAAAAGAAATCTGTCCAAGTAAAGTTTACTCCAGTTCACAACAGAACTGTTTCTTCATTAATCATAGTCAGGTAGGTTCTGTGATTGTGTGGATTGCTTTTAGTCCTTGTGTCAAAGTCCTTTTATCACCATCAACATGAATAGTATCTTACTGTGTGTACCATGTGTGACTCTTAGAAATGAAAAACTTGTGCAGTTTGTAAATTTTCTTTTTCTTGCTAAAATTCATTGTTAATTTCTTTGTGGTGATGCACAGAATGATAGTAGAATTTATAAAACAAAAGATAAGCAAATTTAATGGGAGAAAAATCTTATTCTTTCATAGAAATAACCTGACTGTGATGGATGCTGTGATGGTCCAAGGTCAAGGGACAACTGAGAACTTGAGGGTGGCAGGCAAACTTCCAGGTCCTGGAAGCTCCTTGCGCTTTAAAATCACAGAAGCATTGTTGAAAGATTGTATGGACAGTGAGTATCCCTAACAGTGTGAAGGGCTCAACTTCCAACATTTTCTATCAACAGTAAATAATTTGAAAAGTAGGAAAATTATTTCTATATGTACATACATGTCTTCTAGTCACGAGTGAGTAAAATGTTAAGGGAATCCCATGTCTTATACTCATGGTTGTTTGATTGCATACTCTGCATATGAAAAGTCAAATGTACTAAAATGTTTACCTCTACAGTGACATATCAAAGCCTAGCATGGTGGTACATACCTGTAAGCCCAGCCCTTAGGAATCTGAAACAGGAATCATGAATTCTAGACCAATCTGTGCTGCCTAGTGAGTTCAAGGCCAGTCTGGGCTATATCAGGACCTTATCGCAAAAATAATTATTATTTATTTATTAATTAAAAATAAAATGCCATATCAAAATGGAGAGTTTACAGATGAAACCTGAAGGATGGCTGATCTCTGGTATGTTGGGTTAACTCATAACATCCAACATATAGACATTCACAGAGACCATATTTCTCATTCAAACTAGAAGCACATGATAACAAGGCTTATCTTTACTCCCGATTTTTTTTCCTTTAGGTTTGAAACTAAGAGAACCAAATTTCACACTGAAAAGAACATTTAAAGTAGAAAATACAGGGCAACTTCAAATCCATGTACAGACCATTGAAATCAGTGGATATGCCTGTGAAGGATATGGTTTTAAAGTGGCTAATTGTCAAGACTTTGCACTAAGTGCCAATGCCTCTAGAGACATAGTCATATTGTAAGTATTTTTTTGATCAGATTCAGTATGGTAAATCACTAACTTTCCACTGCTATTTACACTAGAATTATTTAAATACTGTGAAAGATGTTTCCATACTTAAAAAGTTAAAAAGCCTTTATCACGAATTATTCATTTGATTTTTTTTTCACTTAATTTTCAGCTATTTCCATATGTTTTTGTTTCCAAAGTTGTACAACTTCCTGTGTCCTCAAATTGGATCAGATAATCTTAGAAACCAATTTCAAGATTGTTTTAAAGCATAAAATGATTAATTGCAGCATATTTTTAATATCTGAGAACTTGTTACAGAGTAATAAATGTAAGCTCTGTCTCTTAATTAAATAACTTTATGATCTTCTGAGGACGTTTACTTACTATGTACTTGCATGTACATTACTACATGCAAGGCATGCTTGACACCTACATGTAGAGTGAGGAGTAAGACACCTTTCCTCACGGTGCACACCCCTAAAAAAAGAAAATACTTGTGGCCATAAGCAGTACTGCGGGAAATGAGGAAAAAGCACTAGGCTGGGGTTTTGTTTGTTTACGGAGTCATTAGGAATGAAGCCTGGAACAGGATAAGGAAAAAGGAAAGGGAAAGAAGCTAATGCATGACTTTCCAGGTTGGGAAGCTGGCTGTTTTTCTCTTTTAATGTAATCTGTCAACTTGTCCACAGAACATGGCTATTCTGTTCGAAACCTCTCTTAATCTTAAAATAAGGAAGTTAAATGAACTTCACCTTCAAACTCTGTGTTGTGTTTCAAAGGCTGATGGAGCTAGTATTTTATTTAAACTGCGTGTGGTCTATTTCAAAATGAGCATTACTGCTGTCATTGTGTTTCAGGTTTACTCCTGATTTTACAGCCTCTAGAGTTATTCGTGAACTGAAGTTTATAACAACCAGTGGTTCTGAATTTGTTTTTGTATTGAATGCCTCTCTTCCATACCACATGTTAGCAACCTGTGCAGAAGCCCTACCCAGACCCAACTGGGAACTAGCTCTGTACATCATCATCTCAGGAATAATGAGGTATTTGTGTCTTCCTTTGAGGTTGGTATTCATTCATAATTGGTCACTGTTCACCAAATGCCTGCTGTGTGCCAGCCACTTTTTTTCTAAGTGATGGGATATACTAGCAAACAAAACAGACACACTCTGACTTTGTGAAAGTTAATATTGGTGGAGAAAATAGAACTGAGCCATTCATGGGTGGCATATGAATAAAGTTTATTTTTTTAACCTTTGAAAATTGTTTATTAAACGAAGTACATGTTAATGCCATAAAGACACACAATTTACTAGATAAAGTTACTTTATTTGGGCATATGTAATTAACATAATTATATGCCTAAGCAACATGAAGCTGAGAAAAATGTTTTCAAGGCCACAGCATCCTTATCTTTTTTCAGGATATTGATGTGTTTTAGAGAATCTAGTATACTCACTTCTAATTTACATAGTCACCTCACACATGATTTAGGGTAAAAAGAATTGGCCCAGAGAGTTGAAGCTCAACTTCCTCTTGTAAAGAAAAATGGAGTGTCTCTTCTGATACACTCCATTCCCTTCATGCCAGCTTCCATTAAGACTGTTCTTTTTGGAGTTGGTGCACAAACTTTTATCCATAATACTTTATTTTTGTCTTAACCATTAAAAATTTGTCACAGACATCTTTGTTTTTTACATCATATTTACCAGAAAACTGTGTTTAATAGCCAAATTTATTACTTTTGCCTTGACAAAAAACGCTGATCTCTCCCTCTGTGCGCCCACAGTGCACTGTTTCTCCTGGTCATTGGAACAGCTTATTTGGAAGCTCAAGGAATTTGGGAGCCGTTTCGAAGACGACTATCCTTTGAGGCTTCAAACCCGCCCTTTGATGTGGGAAGGCCATTTGACCTCAGGAGAATTGTTGGTATTTCATCTGAAGGAAAGTATGTTCATATGCTGACAGTCCACTTTCTTGTACACATAGATTTGGCTGATACAATTATAAGAAAAAAAAATTCACCTTCACTCAAAGCATTAAAAATCCTTAATTCTAACCCTGTATGATAGTACTCTATTACTAAGTATTCATAGCAGATTCCTTATGAGGGTCAAAATATTCTTAGTTATTAGATTACTTGATTTATAAATTTTCAGATAAAATAAGCTCTATCAATTTGTGGCTATTACCCCTATCTCTTGTTTATTCTTGGAGTAGTTTCTATTTGTGAAGGATGTACTGATGAAAGTTTGTTTTCTTAGTATTAGATTGTGGGTTGCTGTTTCCTGATTTTCAATTGATCCATTTTTTCAGCTTGAACACACTCAGCTGCGACTCCAGTCATGGTAGGGGGTTCTGTGGCAGCTCGTCGTTCCGACCTGGTACGGGGAGTCACAAGCAGTGTGGCACATCAGTTCACCCACACAGCAGCCACAGCAATAGAAACTCAGCTGACGTGGAAAATGTCAGAGCCAAAAACAGTTCAAGTATCTCAAACAGGACTTCTGCACAAGCAGCTGCCTCACAGTCTACAAGCAAAGCAAGCCCCCTTGTCTTAGAAGCAAATGCAGCAACCCAGAGTCATGCAGCAGGCAGAAAGTCCAAAGGGACAAAGCAAAGCCAGCACAGCAGCCAGCATCATGGCCACAGCCTGCTGGAGCAGCACCCACAGCCTCCCCCTCCACCACCAGTGCCTCAGCACCAGGAGCCACTGCCTGAAAGGCTGTCTCCCGCCCCCCTTGCCCACCCTTCCCACCCAGAGCGAGCCAGCAACACACGGCACAGCTCAGAGGACTCAGACATCACCAGTCTCATAGAAGCCATGGACAAAGACTTCCACCACGACTCCCCAGCCCTAGATGTGTTTACAGAGCAGCCTCCATCACCATTGTCAAAGAGCAAAGGTAATTATCTCCTGCTTCAGAGGAAGGTTGTATGTGAGAAAAAAGCCAGAGTTTGTTGGAGGGATTGAGGTCAGTCTAAGCAGCTACTACTGTAGGTATTCTCTGGCTGAGATTCAGCTCCTGGGTGAGATGACAACTCTTCCATATCACAGTACAAGCAGAAGTGCCCATCTCTCATAAAAGACAGAGTTGTATAGATTTGCTTCCAAAGTCAGGACTTTGTTGGGTGGCATTTACTCCTTTCAGCTGGCTGGGATAATTGGATTGTATTCACTGTTAAAATAATTTTGAAAACCAAAATCATTGCCATTTAGCTCAAAAATACGATTTCTAGCCAGGCATGGTAGCACACGTCTGTAGTCCCTGCATTGGTAAGCCAGAGGCAGAAAGATTATCACAAGTTTGAGGTCAGCCTGGGGTAATAAGACTTTGTCACAAAAATAAAAATTAAAATTAAAAAATAGAAAAAGAGAGCAAGAAGGAAGCAAATAAGAAAGTAATTGGCCAAACCAGGTACCCAGAGAAGTTGGTCTGACAGGACAGCAGGAAGTAACTGCAGTGCAAATATCATGGTCTTGTGGCAAGAGAGTAATGGATGTACCAGATACATGGAATTGAGGAGTTAGGGGAGGACCTTTTGCCAGAAGGAACCTTACAAACAGGAGGAACAGGAACAAGTCAAGGGATGGGACTCCAAGTCCAATTCCAAGAGTGGTGAGAGCAAGAAACAACAGAACAAGGTCTAGAAATGGCGTAAGAGTTTAAGGCTTCAGGGTACATGGTGTGGCTGTAACAGGTTCTTGGCCTTAGTAAGATACTGAAGTCTAACAGGAGTAAAGCTTATTGGCAATGGCAAGGCCACAAACCACAGCACTCAAAACCCACAGGAGTTTTAGAATTCAGAACTTTGGAAAGGAATGTGATGCATATAGCATGTTTCCCATGACTATGAAATCAGGCTTGCATCCATTCAGCTATGGTTGTGTCACCAAAAATGTTCAGTCATGGTTCATTTTATTTCTAAGCAAGTTAGGAGGAAAAAACTTTGAAGGTTTTTTTGGATTTCAGAGTTTAGATTAGTCCCGTATAAGGTGGGAGACCTAGGGTGGGAAGATAACTGTGAGTGTGGTATGCAGCTCCTTGTAGAGACTGGGCAGATGCACAGACTGCATCAGTGCCAGGCCAGGTAAGTAGGAATACAGCATGGGTGCCACTGGCCTAAATATACAGGGATCTAGGTACACACATCTGATCACTCACCTCTGCTGCCTTCCCATCTGCCTGCCAAACAGGTAGACCAGATCCCCCTTCCACAAATAGAGCATCTGCTCTGTTAGGCTTCCCACTCTGTCCTCTGCTATCTGTGTAGTCCCACAGGAAGGAAAAGATACTCAGACCTTGGGTAAATCTCGGCTGATTTATCAAGGAAAGAAGAGAGGCTGGCAGGAGTGAACAGAGAGGCTAGTGCTAGCTCTCAAGAAGCAGGCCCACTGTAGTCAGCTTTCTCCCTGGGAACAGGAGGTACAGTGACTGATCCACACAACAAAGGCTCCTCTGAAAGAGAGAGAGAGAAAAAGATAAATCTTTAAGGCCTTGCTACCCAGAGTTGTAGTTCAAGGACCAGCAGTGGTGACATCGCATGCAAGCGTGTTAGAAATGTGGAATGCTGAGCCCAAACCAGACTACTAAATCAGGATGTGTGTTCATCACAATCCAGGCAATCTGGATACCTGTGTGAAGACATTCTGACCGTCTACTCATGGAATGTAGCCAGTGGATGTCCCAGGAAGCGCAGGACACTGGTCCCTCTGGTGGTTATTTGGTTAGACAATAATTTCCCTGAAAGATAATTTACTTCTTTTATTTCTAGAATGAACAGTTTCTAATTCAGTATAATAATCTTATGATAGCCCTAAATAACTGAGCTCCGAGGGCTATGAAGTTTTGCTTGTGCAGCCTTTTTTTCTAGTTCTGTTGCCTTGTGAGTTCTGCCTATGCCAGGAACGCTAACACATGCAAGCTTCCAGTGATACAAGAAAAAAGAAAGTAGAGCGTGGATCATCTTACAGACTTAAGATTAAGTCTTTCCCTGGGATAGATGTAAAATTGTCTCACTTAGTAAAAGCTCTTGGGGGATTTCTGTTAGACAGTATGCTGTCTAGGCTTAGAGTTTAATAAGAAGAACTAATATAACAACTAAAGCTTCTGAACAATACTTAGCTTAAAGAGCTTCAGAAGAGATTTTTTTTTTCCATGCATGTTTTGGAGTATATTTTAGTCCATCACATTTGTATAAAGATACCCTTTCAAAACAAGTAAGGAGATAAGGTTTACATGAATAGTACTCACTCAAGTGAGTAGTATATAGGTCTTTATTGTTTATTGGTCCCATTTAGACCCCTTAAAGAGCCAAAAGATGAGAAAGAACAAATTGCTGCCATCAGTGGTAACTCCCCAGAGCTTCTCCTGAGCTAGAACCCCAGCATTCATAGCTGACAGTGCACAGCTATTTGAGTCCATGGCTGCCAAGGCCCATGCCTGTTCAGAGAAACTATTTGCTAGTAACTAAAACTTTCTGAACTAAAATTTTTTGGAGACATCCAATACAACTAACTCAGACTACCACTACTGATTATAGATTAATTTATTTGCTACTAAGAGATGATACAGAAAAGGCAAATGAGTAAAATGTACTTTTTCTTAACATTTGTGTGTAAAGGCATATGCCACAGCATGGTGTGGATTTCAGAGGACAACTTCCTTTCAGGAGTCTTCTCTCCTTCCACTATGTGGGTCCCAGAGGCTTAAACTCAGATCATTAGGCTTGGCAGCAAGCACTCCTACCTGCTGAGCCTTCTCACCAGCTCTGCTGTAAATATCTTTGACACATATTTCCAACATATTTGTCATCTTGGTGTTGGCATCTGTTGATTTTGTTGTTGTTGTTGTTGTTGTTGTTGTTGTTGTTGTTGTGTTTTTCATTTAATTTGAAAACCACCTGGTTCTTGGTATAAAGAGTGGTTCCAAGATCCTTTTGTGGTTCATAAGCGTGATGATTGGGTGTTCACATGCATGCGTGACATGTGCCACCCTCAAACCTTGTTTTGCACCGGCACATTACTTGTCTGATGGGGGGGGGGGGGTTCCAGATTGAGACCTGCATTCTTGAGGGTTATTGGATCTTGAGCCTTCTGTTTTTTCTGAGTTTCCCAGTCATCTCCAGCAGGGGAAGGGGCAGAGAGGTACACTGACTTGGTGCTGCCAGTTAGTTAGAAGTCCTGATTTCCTGATTGGCCTCTATTGCCACCCAGAGGACATGGCTAATAATTCTCCCTATCCAGCTTGTTTCTGCTTATCCTGCTAGGCTGGGGTGAAAGTCCTGACTGTCATGAGGCCTGCTGTGATACCACCATGGCTGGATATATTGGAGTGCCTGGTGGAATTTTGCAAGGGAGGAATCCCACTCTTCCCACTCAGCCTTGGCTGACGTGAGTCTCAATGGGACCACAGTTGTTACTGTTTATTTGCCCAGAGTGGAGTGGTTATGTTACTGGATTGTCCCTTTCCTCCCCCTTTGACTAAAGAGTGCTGACTTTTGTTGGGACTTTTTGGTATGTGTCCATTTGTCATTGTGACAAAAAAGAATCAGAGAAGCTAGTACCGTATCTTTCCTCAGGTTTCAGTGTCCCTCCCCAGTCGGTTACCTTCTCTCCACATCAGAGCCATCTGGTGTTTATTTTGTATACATTGCCCAAGGTTTTTAGTTGGAAGGAAAAAAATATCTACCCATCTTCCCAAAAGTGCTGGTCTCTAGATAAATTTTTAATAGGATTTATGTTTCCCAATTGGAGGAAACCTCAGGCTTCAGTTAATGTATAGACTGAAATGGGATTAGAAAGTCATTGGTAAAGATTTGATAAAGCCACAGATTGTTAGTAACAACACTCATAAAAACAACACTCAATCAGCCCTGACCACTAATTCTAGAAAAGCCTCTCATTAAAGACTATTATTGTGATCTACTTATAGATGATAGATGGGATAAGTTACTTAGAAAGGACTAAGATGAAGTAAGCATTTGATGTTGGGCTAGCAAGTCTCAGAGTGGGTCTGAGACTACTAGCGCATTTCCCTATTTAGAAGGCATAGTCTCCCTGCCTGATGCTGCTGAGAGCAGGAAGGTCAGTGAGGCCTAGCCTCTGCCTCAGCTGCTTAGTCCACAGCAGCTGAGGGGGTAAAGCCAAAAGAAGCCTGGAAAAAAAAAAAATCCCATCTCAGGAATGTCACAGAAGAGCTCACCTCTAAAGACTAGGTAACCACAGTAGGTAAGCCAGAGTCCTCAGTCAGGAGCGCTTGGTGATAGTCAGCCTGGGGACCATTCTTTCAACAGCATTTGAGCCTCTTGAGCCCCATTGCCCTACCAAAATCCCCTCTCTGTCACCATGGTCATGGTGGGTATAGTTCCTCGGCACTCTAGATGTTTCTAAGCTGCTTCTCCTTCAGCTTGTACCATCTGTGTTTGGAAGGGTTCCCATAAGTCTTGGAGATATCCAGTGTCCTCTACTGTATATTGGGTTAATTCATCTTTGAAAGGACAGTCTCCTTCTGAATTTAATTGATAAGTAATTTTATATATTTGGGGTACATATATTTTTTTGATGTTTTGATATAGCATTGTAGAATGATTAAATCAAACAAATTAGCAGTTTTGACACATAAGATACATTATTATTATTAGCTGGTCACCATGCTCTACAATAGACCTCAGATTTACTCGTCCTATCTAAACCTTGGCACCCTTTGAACAATATCTTCAAATCCCCCCACCCACCCCAGTCTCTGGCCACAACCACTGTACCCTGCTTCTACATCACCTCACACCTGTTAGAATGGCAGTTAACAAAGACAAGTGATCACAATGTAAATATATGTGAAAATTTCATGTTGTCCTCTGTAAATACGTATAGAGTTTTTTTTTTTTTACTAAAAATATATTTTTACTTAAAAATATTTTAAGCTGGGTGTAGTGTCACATGCTTAAACATCAGCACTCCAAAGGCCAAGGAAGGCAGTCTCTGAGATCTAGGCCAGCATGTTCTATGTAGCAAGCTCCAGACCAGCTGGGACTGTGGGAATAAATAAAATAAATACATAATAATAAAATATAGATAAAAAAAATAGCAAATTAAACAAGTTGTTTCAATTTTGAATATTTCTACATTTTAAAAAATAGATTTTTGGCACAGGTAAATGCTGACTAGAGTGGAGAGCAATAGCCCTCTGGGCTGTTGATCCCACTCCTTCCTCCACTCTCCTCTGTGCACCGGACACAGAGAAGTAGTATGAACTGTACTTTGGGCTCAGGAACTGCTAGAAGGGCCAAGGGTAGAGTATGAGGAAACACTAGGGACAAGGTTGGTATAGAGGCACAGGGGAGTAGATGGGCCTAGACTGTAGGGGAATGTAAACTTCATCCTGCAGGAAATAAGGAGCCAGATAAAGTTTTTACGTTTTAAAAATGTTTCACAGGGAAAGTGTTGCTATTGATGGGGTAGAAGGTAGAGTAGACCAGGAAGAAATGCCTAACCAGAAGACTGGGCTGTTGCAGAAGGCCAGGCAATTGATGGAGAAGTCCTGAGGTAAGGAGAGGCAGTGGGATGAGGTAAGAAAGGAATTAGAGATTTCAGAATAGAATCGATTCACTAGTTGATGGACAGTAAAATTGCATTTTCTAAGTGACCCAGAATTCCTCAGATTCTACTCGAAACATAGGCACTTTTCCTCCTGAGATTCCCAGGAAACATACAACATGGAACAGTCATGAGAAAAAAGAAATTCAGCATTACATTATTATCAGTAGGCCACATGCCCACAGTGCCCAACACAGCCCTCATAAACTGGGTAGGACCCTGTATTGCAGTCACTGGAACACTTGTTAAAACACGTTGTTAGTAGACCTACAATGGAGCTATGGAGTTTGCATTTCAAATAATGCTGACTCTGTAGGTCTGGAAGAATCACTTGGAAACCACTGACCTAACGAAAGATTCTAGAGGGACTCTCCTCTCCATACAGTCCAGTGTTTCTACTGGAAACCAGCCCCTGAGAATATTGTCAGGCCAATTTTCCAGATATGCCAAGTCTATACATATTCAACAAACTGTACCTTTGAAAATGGATGCATTCCATTGTACATTAACTATGCCTTAATAAAGTTGACTTTATATATAATAACCTCACAAAGTCAAACTTGATCTGGATAGCTTTAGTCAAGAAGAAATAAAGCAGCGAAAGAAACCTTAATTAATGAGAAGAGTCCTGCCTCTTCCAAACAAACAAAAAATTGTAATGACTTTGTTTGCAAAAGTATTTAAAGATCAAGAGTTATTTTTACTTTGATTTTCATCCCCAGGGAAAGGAAAACCTCTTCAACAACGCAAGGTTAAGCCTCCAAAGAAGCAAGAAGAGAAGGAGAAGAGGGGAAAGGGAAAGCCTCAGGAGGATGAGCTAAAGGATGCCCTGGCAGATGACGACAGCTCCTCCACCACCACAGAGACCTCCAACCCCGACACAGAGCCACTCCTGAAGGAGGTATGTGGGAGCTGGCAGCACAGGGAACCCAGACTGCCTGACTCACAGCTCCTGGTTGTAATACAGAATTGATGTTTTATGTGTCATGCCCACTCCTTCTGAGGATGTGTTTTCAGTGTGTTCAGGCTTGCTTATAGAGTACTCCCCTGTAGAAATCATCCCAGTTCTGGGGTTGGATGACTTCATTTCCCCCAAAAGAGGAGCATTTGGAAGCATATTAGAGTAAAATAGAAACTGGAAACACTGCTTGAAAGTTAGGAGCAGCTGGAATGGTAATTACCTCATGGAATTTGTTACCAACTTTGAGCATCAAAAGAGAATGAGAAAGAACTAAACCATCTCAATTATATAGTCATGCTAGAAACGGAGTTTTGGTGGCAGCTCACCAAAGGCAGGGGAACAGTGACTTGCCCCAGGCATTAGTGGTCATCTGGATCTGGGAACCCAGCCCAGTACACATTAGCACATGAAGAACACTGCCTCACCTTATGAGTCATCAGCTCACAGAGGTGATTAACATCCAGAATAATGCTACAGCCTGTCTGGCACATTGCAGCTATGAATGTGTCCAGCAATGTGAGTTGAAACTCCTGTGCAGAAAGTCTGGTTATAATGCAACTTTGCCATTTTTATGTTTAGATGCATTTCAGATTTAAAGTTCTCTATACAGCTTTGACATTGTGAACAGAATCTCATTTTCAGTTTTCATGCAGTGGTCTAAGGAGCAGTTATTAAGCATACCCAACAGTGTCCACTGGGTGCATTAATGTTTTAAATAAGATGCATATGTGACTTGGTGCACATGCCAGCTGCTTTCTCCTTTGCATTTCTTTGCAGTTGGCACAGTGCTCTGTCTACTCCCATATAATTTGTAGCTAGCACTGGACACTGTACTTGTTAACCATTTTGACAAATGTCTTCAGAGAAGCAGGGTACCCACTCTGTTCTAGTTTGTTTCTCCATTGCTGTAACAAAACACTCTGACCAATACCAACTTGGGGAGAAAAGGGTTTATTCAGCTTACATCTCCTGGGTCACAGTTCATCAGGGAACCCAAGGTAGCAACTCAGGGCAGGAACCTGGAGGCAGAAGCTGAAGCACAGGCCATGGAGGAAAGCTGCTTACTGGCTTGCTCCCCTTCCCCTGGCCCACACTCAGCCTGCTTTCTTATATAATACAGAACAACCTGCCCAGGGCTGGGACTGCCCACAGTGGACTGGGCCCTCCACATCACTCAAAAATCAAGAAAATACTCCACAGACATGACCATGGGCCAGTCTAATGGAGGCAACTCCCCAACTGAGGCTCCCTCTACCCAGGTGTGTCAAGTTGACAACTAAAGCTATCCAGCACACACTGCTAACTTGAGTGGAGTCCCAGCAGTTTTTGCTTAATGAATAGCATTTGGGAAGCATTTTCAGCCCCTGAATTTTCATGCTTCCTTGCCTGCCTTTCCAGCCTCTTTCCTGATTGCTCTCAAGAGCCCCTCTGTTCTCTGACTGACCAACCAGTCATCATTCCCACCTCATTCATTCTGTTTCCCCATCTTCCATTCCATCTGCTTCCTCACTAATTGCTCGGAGCGCGCCCTTTTGGAGTCCCCGTGCCTACCATCCCCTCCCTCAAATGAGTTTCATTCCCACTGCCCAGCACTCTTGCTAAGTGGACATATGCCTCTGTTTCTTTGTGACTCTTCTCAGTGGGAATGTGGGTTGTGTATTTCCTCTAGATAATTGTACTTGGCCAATCTTTTTCTCTTGTACATCTTCTTGTATTAGCAGTCCAGCTCATGGTATCCCTGTTCTAGCCATTCTATAACTAAGTATGTGTTGAGCACCAATGTGCCAGGCTTAATGCCAGGTGCTTGGGTAGCAAAACTCGACAAAACACTTTGTCCTAGTTCTCAAGAGAGCTCTTGGTCTACGCCCTACATGATCAGTTGCAGATTCAGGAAGTACTTCTTGAATAATTCTGAGTAGTCTCAAAAGGTATAGCACATGGAGGAGGTGACCTAGGGGACCAATAACCCCTACCTCTGGTTATTTACTCTCAACAGTTAAGTGAAATGGCAGCTAAATTTAGACTGCCTGCTGACCACACTGAGGCTAGTCAACTGGTTGATATGTTCCCCCCTTCCCCCCATGCTTGGCCCCCCAACACCCATGGCTGATCACTTTGCTATATGTCCATACTCATTTGTTCCTGTTAGCCCAGGCCTCCTGAGTGAGTGTGGTGAAGAACCAGTTTGTTTTTGGTACACAGCCCACTCTGCACATCTCATTGGGCAGCGTCAGCAGTCCTTGAGTGGTCAGTTCCTCTGAGTGCATACATGCTTCAACAGTGTCACATTACTCTAAAAATGTCCTTTGCAGGTTCTCTACTGATCTGGCCATGGACTAGAAACAGCAGTGGTGGGCCAGTTTTGTAGCTTGACTTTACAGTATCCTGCCCAGCCAAGGCTGCACATGCAAGTCAGGCAAGACAAACCCTCTGGGCTCTATCATAACTAGGGAGTGTTGCTACAGCACAGGCCCACATTGCTGTCATATATGTCTCCCTTCTGCTAGACTTCATAATCCTGGGAACCTTCTTGGTAACCCCACCTTCCAACACCAAGTGGGTCGCTAGTAAATGTGTGTTGAATAAGTGAATGAAACCTGTGCTCTTCCTGTTGGTGTGGGGAGTGGTGAGAAGCTATGCATAAGCCACAGTGCTATGGCCAGTTGCAGTGGATGACCAGGTGCAAAAACACTGAGTGCTGCCCTCCCTGTTCTCGTCAAGTTTTGTGCCGGGGATTATGCACATTGCTGCAAGTGTTTAACTTTATAATAGAGACTTTGCTGAATTTTTCTTGTAAATAGGACATGGTTTTATTCCCCAGTATTTAAATAAGAAGCTACCAATTGCTGCTCCCCACCCCTCCTGTCAGAATGTGAATATAAATTTAAATGACCTTTATAAGTCATACTCATCAGAACACAATTTCAATACGTTAAACAGCTGAAAAGTTGACAGGACCACAACAGTTCAGGAAAGAGTTTGTCACTTCTACACATTTGGCATTACATCTGTTATCTTGGGTTTTGTGTCTGGGTCTCAAACGAGACCCAATTTCAGTCATTCTTATTAGTCCTTCTGAGCAATTATGTGTGCATTTTAACAGGACACAGAAAAGCAAAAGGGAAAACAAGCCATGCCTGAAAAACATGAAAACGAAATGTCCCAAGTAAAACAAAAAAGCAAAAAACTTCTAAATGTTAAGAAAGAAATCCCAGCAGATGTGAAGTCCAGGTGAGTCCAGAGAAGTGAGGTATGTGGTGGAACTGCTGGTGAAGCCACGCTCTGCTTTTGGGCACTTGCTTTAAAAGGGTTTCAGTAGCAAAAGCGAATGGTGCTTTGGGCTACTCTTGAGTTCTTTCTAATGTCTTACATCCACTTTTGCTGATTAGGGACAGCCACATGCTTCTAATACTAGATTGTGGAGGGTGGGGTTAGCAATCTGTTGTGAAAATTTTGGTTTATAATTCATTTCCAGGCAGAGAACCATTTCACTTTGCACAAAGGTGACCTTGACAGTTCAGCTGCAAATATGAGCCTGACTTTTGTCAGTTGAATCACTAACCTAGAGCTGCAGTTGGGATCTAGAGTTCTGTGTTGTAAACTTTAGAAGAGTTTATTCTTGGCTAAAACATGTTCTGGGATGGTATCCCCAGTCAGACAATTCTACCATGAAAGAACCCAGGAGGTGGGAGATTGCTGTAGCCTATTCCCCAAGAAGAGGAATGTGTGGAACTACTGAGGTTAACTAAGGTTGCATTGTATTTTCACTAAACCTTGGGTTAGCATCTTTCTAATAAACTAATTTTGGTACTGGCATCATGGAAGCTGGTAGAGTGGTCATTCTTAGTTTGAGCCTTAGATTTATGAACAGTCTGTTCTTACTCTGACTCTGGGAATAATACTTAACTTTAGAGAAATGCCATTAACTAGACTCTATCTCTGCATTTAGACAGCTGTCCATAGGCAGGCTTCGACCTACTCTGTAGATGAGAAAATGTAACCTTATCCCTGAGCTTCTGCATTAGCATATGGCAGTCATCAGCAGTCATCAGAAATGTCCACTATTATTTGTGTTTATACTTAAATCTGCTCTTGTGGAAATTATTAATTAGAGCAGTGTCTTATTGAAACTGTCTGATTCAGTTAGAAGAAATGTTGAGTGCAGTGATAGGTGACCATTCAGTGAGGGGGAACCCCCCCCTTCTGAAGTAGACATTGGCACACTTGCTTCTCTCCTGTGAGAAGCTTCTCAGCACAAGGCTGAGATGAGTGCCAGTAGTGTTCAGGTATCCCAAGACATCTAATTCATCTAGTGGCAAAGAGCTATTCTCCAAGACCTTTTTCAGGCATGTGCACAGTTAATTGGCTATTTTAAGGTATATCCAAATTACATTAAAAGATCCTAGTTTTGGGGCTAGAGAGATGGCTCAGCAGTTAAGAACACTGGTTTTCTTGCAGAAGACCTGAGTTCAAATCCTAGCACCCACATGGCAGCTAACAACTGTCCGTAACTCCAGTCCCAGGGGATCAGACAGCCTCTTCTGACCTCTGCGGGCATTGCATGACATGGGTGCACTTACCTACATGCAGGCAGTATGCACATACACATAAAATAAAAATAATAAATTTTTTTAAAAAGATCCTAGTTTTATATATGCAAAAATCTTATGGGACAATCATACAGTGATTCTTATGATCATAATTTTTAAGGCCAGTGCTTCAAAAAATTATACTAGTCCGCAGGAGACTGTCACAGCTCTCTTCTTTGCCAATCCTGATACCTGAGCTTAGTACCTGAGACGAAACAGGTAAGACACATCAATCATAGCCCACAGCCCTTGTCCACTAACTTCTTTTGCATTTTGATTTTTTTCAATGAGATAAGCTGACCATTATCAGGTCTGACCTTGAACAGTCTTTAAGACTTCATTTGAGTCCACTGCGTTTACAAAGACTTAAAGTTCTCTGGTAAACCAGGACCTAGAGTGGTCAGTCCTCCCCTCCTTAGTCAAGGGCTGGTTAGAACAGTCATCTGCGTTCTCTTGAGGTATGAAAGAGAAGAGACTTCAAGCAGTTTACTCTCTGAATTGTTTTGGTTTTTTTGAGGTTTTGTTTTTTTCTTTTGAGACAGGGTCTCACTGTGCAGCCCCAGCTGGCCTGGAACTCACTATGTAGACCATCCCAGGCTGGCCTGGATCTCATAGAGATCCTCTGCCTCCCCATTGCTGGGATTAAAGACGAGGGCCAGCATGCCCAGCTGAATTGTTTTTAGTAGTAGTAGTAGTAGTAGTAGTAGTAGTAGTAGTAGTAGTAGTCTTTTTGTTGTTTGGGGCGGGGGGCGTGTTTTTTGTTTTTGAGAAAGGATCTTCCTATAGCCCCAGCTGACCTAGAACTCACTGAAGACCAGCCTTGATCTCACAAGAGACCTGCCTGCCTCTATCTCCTGAGTGCTGGGAGTCAAGGAGTGCATCACCATTCCTGAGTCCAGCTCTTAAATTGTCTTTTTACCCAGAGAAATCCTCATACAGCTTTGGTCTTTCGTTTTCTTTAAACTTAGTGATCATTTTGTGTTTCTGAACTAATAAAAACACTCAGATTCACAATTAATTAGTATATCAGTCAAGAATGCAATTAGGTAAAACCTTTTTTCCTTTCCCGATCACCAAAGATTTTCTCTTAGGATAGAACTGGTCTCAGTGTCCCCTGAGTTACAATAGTAACACCGTGCACTGCCATCTGCCCAGGCAGAATAGTGGGCAGTTTTAGCTTTAGTAATGCCTCAGAACCTGTCAACCATGATTCTGTATGTCTAAAGGTAACATGTACAATTTAAACTGAAGTATTATAAGACATTTCATCACTTTCTTCTGGAGCCAGAAGAATGGATCAGACACTCTTTCCATAGTCTTATCCTTCTATGTTCCCTGGAGATCTTCCAAAACTACAGACTACCCAGAGTAAAGACATGCAGTTTCAGTGGCAGATAGCTGTTCTGACCCTTATTTTGAGCTTTAATCTCATGGAAGAGGGCCTCCAGAAGGCTTATAAGCCAAGATGCCAAGAAGTAGGAATTAGATCTCAGTTACTTAAAGGGCTTCTGGACTAGGAGGGTACCAGCACATCCCTGGCTTAGCATGCCACTCTCCACTCATTGTTTTCCTGTGTATTTATTAACATTGTGTGTTTGCATAACTAGTAATTAAACAAAAAAATTAATGTGTGAACCCACTGTACATTCTCTGGTAATTTGCTTGCATGGTGTGTTCTTCTCAGGGCTGAGGGTCATGAACGCCACTTTACACATTGGCCAAACCCACCGGCACACAGAGAGCCTTCCTTGTCTCAGCTGCCTCCTCCCCCAGCCAGGGCCAAGTGTGTGAGATGTGAGCAAAGACCTGCTGGCAACTGAACCACCTTTCTCCTTGTAGACAGAGTCACTTCAAGTCAGTTGGCTTTTGTCTATTCTATTTAAAAGCCTTAAAAAACGTTTTCTGCTGGAGACCATCTGGCTTAATTTAGGAATATTGACTCAGCAAAAATAAAAGAGTCTGGCGCCTTTTTTTCTTAAAAGCCAGTTAACTTTACAGTGGCAGAGTTCAGCTTTGTAAGATGGACATCCCCCACAGTTATAGATGACATCTAAAAACAACCCACATGGCCCTGCTAGGGGTTGGATGTCAGTGTGGTGGGAGTTTTCTGGTGTTTTTAGAAGGCAAAGTTTTAAAATAACCCTGTCAGAAGGGGAAGAAGGATGGAACATTTTATAATATTGTGGGATTTGTAGTCTTGCCCATAAACAGTGAGTGGTATGTGCTTTTTTTTTTCACTTTAGTTTCTTATACTGCTTAAAATTCTACTTATTTGGGCTAACAGAGACTCCTGAGGTCGAGGGGGCGGGGAGGGTATCTCTTATATTCCAGAAATACCTATTTATCATGGAAGTTTTGTGAAATGTGGAAAAAAAAATGTCCTTTGAACCCACCACCTTATTTAGTGTCAACAGTCTTTAAGATGTATATATTCTTGTATGAAATCACACTCTGCCATCTTTGTTCTCTTGGTGTATTGAGGAATAGGAGAGCCAGAAATGTGTGGGTGCCACTGGATCTGGGAAGTTTGCTATTCTGACATTTGAAATCTCCTGTGGATCGCCAGTACAGAGGCTTGTCTCTGACCCAGAACCTAGAAGAAATTGGCAGCATTCTAGGAATGAGAATTTGGGGTTGCAGTGGATGCAAGATGAGGGGTGCATAAAGAACTTGAAGACTGGGGCAGAGGGGGAGCGAGGTGTATGCAGAGGTCACACACAAAAGGGTTGGGGGCAGGAAGCACACTCAGGAAGGAAATTCCAGAGACACATCTCTGAAAACATGGCACAGAACTTGGTATGGCATACTTTGTAACCCTAGCTCCTGGGAAGGCCGAGGAGGAGGATCAAGAGTTCATGGCCAGGCTCAGCTACATAGCAAGTTCAGAGGCAGCCTAGGCAACATAATAGGACTCTGCCTGAGGATGTAGCTCAGTGGTAGACTACTTGCCTAGCATTGGCAAATCCCTAAGTTTAGTTCCGAGCACTGAGAAGAAAAAGTGTAGACTTAGTTCAAAAGTAATCCATCAGCTTTCCAGCCATCACCACCAACTTAGTGGCCATCACTGATGAGTCCCTCCCAAAGGGGCCACTCTGCTTCCTCAGGTGTGCCCAGTCCTCCCAGATCCAAGGCCTGATCTTAATGAGTATCACAGAATCAACTTTGTAAAGAACATCTTTGTCACCCACAGATGGCACTGCTCACAAGTACCAGACATGGGCTGATGCCCAGTTCTGTAGCAGCCAGGACTTTGGTCCCAGCTCACTTAAGAATTTCTATGGAAAAATATATGGAGTTTTAGATAACAAAACCTGTAATGTTCTAAGTCTGAGAACTTCTGAATCTTTACATTCAAGAGTCCCAGTGGTGGTGTGGGTGCTGGAAAGGCTCGCCCACAGCAGCACAGCTGTCCTTGTAAGCCCCATGTAGCAAGTTCATGCTCATGGATTTGTACCCATTTTCTGAAGTAGGCATTTAGACCCTCATCTTTTTCCAGATAGTGTATCTCAGCACACTGTCCACCACACTTAGAACAACAAAGGTTAAATCTGCAGGTATACCCTCCCAAGCATTCCTGGAGTATTAGAGCACATTGGATCCTAGGTTGGGACTGTGGGTAGGTAATCCTCAGGAAATATTAGTAAGTTGTGTGATAGAAATGTTGACTAGTCATGGTCGTTAATGACTCAATAGCCTGTGCTCCAAAACAATGAGACAAATTGGTGTTTTCATCTGTGTTTGTCTTTCAGTTCTCTAGAACCGTCATATACACCCTCACTGGAAGGTAAACCACATAGAAATCTCCCAACCAAGATTCCTCTTCCAACTACATTGACAAATGGATCCAAATCACGAAATTCCCAGAAAACAAAAGGTATTGTCATTTTGATCACAGAGCTATTTTCATGATTGTTATGAGTGGTAGGTAGTCAGTTGGTAGCTATTCGTTGCATTATAAGACCAGGCTTGTATTCTTGTCCCCTGAAGGTTCATTGAAACAGTTCATTGAAAGGGAAAATCATCCTTTCTTTTCTGAATTCTCTGCAGGTACAAGTAAGATAGTGGATAACAGGCCAACTGCCCTAGCAAAATTCCTCCCGAACAGTCAAGAACTAGGCAACACCAGTAGTTCAGAGGGTGAAAAAGACTCTCCTCCACCAGAATGGGATGCTGTGCCAGTTCACAAGCCCGGCAGTTGTAAGTATGGGTTTAGGAACCACAGTACTGTCTTCACCCATGGCCTGCCCCTTCTGTGGGCATGACCATGCTACAAGGAGGGAATGTTGTTCCCAAAAGAAACCATTGTCAGTGGCCACTGGAGCCAACCTGAATCAGCCAGCAATAGTTCAGAGTTCAACTCTCTGGCCAGTTGGTAGGTACACTGGTGGAGATCATAGTTTTTATACCAGAGAAGTCAACATAGGATTCACATAGGGGCTCTTTACCTGGGTACACAATGGGAGGAAGATAACCACCCAAAGATCATTTGCTTTCTAAGCACATTGACTCAGTAGTCCTTCAGCCAACTCACATTTATAGTGAAATCTCTTAATGAAGATTCTGTTTACTCCAAGCTTTCTTTCACACAACCTGTGTGAAGGCTTGTTAGTACCTTCTTGACCTTGTTTCTCAGATTTTGTCACATATTCTATCTAACTAAGTTGGAAGTCCTCACCCTTTAGACACTTTGGCCTAAAGACAAAGGAGACAAGAAAAGGAGGTCTAGGAGCAGGGCTTGATGCGGGAGAGCTTTCTACTGTTAGAACTGAATTATCCACACTTGCCTCTCTGAGAGAATAGATATGCAGTGGGCTGGTGTATGCCACAGAAAGGAGGCAGAGCAAAGGTAGAGTCTGGTTGGGCAGGGAAACCACTTAAGGAGAAAGAGGTTAAGACAATGCTTGGATGACTGGAGCACTGAGTCAGCTGAGGGTGAAGAGGCTGGACATTGAGGTGAGATTACTAAACACATCAGCTTCTACCTTTCCACCTCTGTGCACACATGTCAGAGAAAAATGCTCTGTTCATGTCTGGTGCCATAGTTTTCCATCAGACTGGCCTCTTTTAATACTTTGCCTTTTTTGCAGGGTGGTAAAATATACTCACATGTCTGGCTATTCAGGAGCTCTTGAACCAGTTATCTTGCATGTACAGGTAGAATGATTTGTCTCCTTTGTTCCCCTTGGAAGCCTTAGCTGGACATTGGTCCTGGGATTGTACCTTAGAATATCCATTTAACAGATGCAGTTTCCACCAAAGAACCAGGATCATGGTGCCCCAGTTTCATAAGATTGCTCCAAGGTCAATAAAGGGAACTAAGCTCTGCTCTGGAGTAACTAAACAAGTTAATGGAACTGAGCACCAGAGGACAGGGTTATCAGCCTTCTGGGCACTGAAACTGACTGGCAGTGGCTCCACCAAGTGGTCCCTGAGCCACATGTTAAGAGTGGAGGGAAAGGGCCATAGGATTCAGCTCTGTGAATTTCAGGTCCATGCCTCAGAAGAGAAGCAACTGTTAGAGGATAGGGACTGGGACTTCTGCCAGGTCAGGCCAGAGCTCTTCAGCACAGCCAGAGGGCTCTGCTTTGGGGGTAAGTAAGCCTGTTTCCAAGGCCCACATTGTACAGTTTTTACTTTTCTAGCCAAGGAACACTTTGACTTCATTCCAAACCCTATAACACTCTGCTCTTACCACCAGCCTCACTGGAAATCTCTGACAAGGCTGTGCTGCCTCTGAAGCTAGAACAGAGTCCAGTTCACACTGGCAGCCACACCTTTCCCCACTGCCTCAGCTTCCCTCCCCCCCCTTGCCAACAGGCTAGCAGCTGCTTCTCCTGCTCCTTTGAGGCGTGGATCTGAAATCCATGGGACTAGATTCTCCTTTTGGTCTTTCATCTTGCTTAGATTCTACACCTCTAAATACATTAGCAGTACTTACCTGACTGCTGGGCCCTTGGGATATGTCACACTAAGACTATTTGAGAGCCAGGCAGGGTGGCACACAACTTTAATCCCAGTACTCAGGAGGCAGAGGCAGGCAGTTTCTGTGAGATCGAGGCCAGCGTGGTCTCTTCATAGCAAGTTCCAGGCCAGCTGGAGCTACAGGGTCTCTGTTTCAAAAAAGACTGTTTAACAGAACAGCAGTCTGAGGGGACTGCAGCCTCTATGTAAGACCTCACTGTCTAATTGGCAGTCTTCAGCATGGAGTCTTCTACCATAAGAGATACCAAGAAAGTTCTCTATGACTTAAAAAGGCAAAGTGTACAAAGGAAAAACAAATACCCCCAAAGGAGGTGGGAATAATACCTGAATCAAAAAGTTTTATAAGGAGACTGGAGAGGCGGCTTAGCAGTTAAGAGCACTGGCTGCTCTTGCAGAGGACCCAGGTTCATTTCCCAGCACTCACATGGTGGCTAACAACTGTCCTTAACTCCAATTCCAGGGGATCCAGTACCCTCATCTGTCCTCTGTGGGCATTGCATGACACAAGTGCATTTACGTAAATGCAGGCAATACACTCATACACATCAAAAAAAACCAAAAACTTAAAAAAATAAAAATATTTTTTTAAGTTTTATAATTGCACAAACTCTATGTGATTGTTGGCCTCCCCTGTCTTCCCTGACTTCAAGCATTATTCCAGAAGACTTGCTATGGCGCTCTCAGTTTCATACCATCTACATTTGCAAATACTTCTTCAGTGCTGAGCCTGTGAAACCCCTCTATTGACAGCTGCCCTGCAATAGGTACCTCAAGATGAGCAAGACGGTATATATGTTAGTCAACTTTTCTGTCACCGTCACAAAATATCTGACAGAAACAACTTAGAGGACGAAAGATCTGTTTTGGCTCACAGAGGATTCAGGCCACAGTCAGCTGTCTCCATTATCTCCTGAGGCAAAGCAGAAACATCGTGGCAAGAGGACATGGCAGAGCAAAGCTGCTCACCTCATGGCAATCTGGAAGCAGAGAGAAGAAAGGGCGAGGGAAAATTTGTCCTTCAGGGTATCTATCACTGACCTACCAATGAGGCCACATTTCCTAATTGTCTGTTCAGCTATTAATCTTCTAGGAAAGCCCTTATAGTTCATGCTACTGAACCAGGCCTTCAACACATGAACCTTTGGAGACATTTCCCACCCAAACCATAACACAGAGTAAGGCCTGTTCCCAGTATCGATCATTCACCAGGGGATAGTTCACCTGTGGTGGCAGGGGGATGTCAGAGAAAGTGCCACACAAGAAGTGACTAGGAAAGGGTCTGGGCAGCTGTACAAAAAAAGTGACCCTTCAACATCAGTATATTACATGAGGGTATGTGCTTTGATGATGTGAGGAGCACAGGCGGACAAGAAGATTCCCATGCACTGCATTTGCAGTAGATGCTCAGCACGGGCAGCAGGCCCACACAACAGCAGAGCATCTGCAGAGGGGATCACCTTCATGATCAAAAGTGAGGGTGGGAGGCTGGAGAGATGGCTCAGTGGTTAAGAACACTGGCTGCCCTTACAGAAGACCTAGGTTTGGGTCTCAGCACCCACAAAGCAACTAACTCTCTAACTCCAGTTCCAGGGAATCCCACGCCCTCTTGTGAACTCTATGGGCATTGCATCCAGGTGGTACATTTATATACATGCAGACGAAGCACACACATAAATGTTAAAGTGAGGACAGGTAGGCTGTAGATCAGCAGGACAGTGACTAGGATGTTGGTGCCACTAAGGAACACAGGAGGGAAAGGAAAAGGTGGCCCTGAAGACAGGAAGTAGGGACAGTGGGCTTGAGTGGGCAGCCCTGAAGATGGGGAATAGGAATTGTGGCTTGGGAGAAAGGAGCTTTGCTTAACACTGCCATTGCTGGGATCCCAACGTGGCCCAGGAATGGGGAGCCCATGCCTGGTTCTGGGCCCTGAAGATTTGGAGAGAGGCACGTGGTGCTGGAGACATGAGCTCATCCTGCAGAGCTGGTTGCCGGCAGAGAAGAAGCACCAGGGTCCATGGTGCACTGTGCAAAACTGGGGACCAGGAGCCTTCAGGCCAAAGCCCTATCCTGACTTCTCTTCATATGCATTATTAAAACAGCACCTAGGTACACATGATAGATTTTGAAATGATAGCTTTTCTGTTATATATCTTTCCAATTTGAAGATGGAACAATATTTTGATGTTATGAAATATTCTACCTTCAGTCTTTAAAACACCTGTGTGACATTTCCTTTACAGGCCCAGGAGTATGTAAGAGCTCACAAACTATAAACTAGGGCCCACACAGCCCAATACACTAAGGAAGAGACAAGGTGTCCTTTCGGACTTGGGGACATTCAGCTTATACACTGCACCTGCTGCAAGTGTACGAGATGGAAGCACAGTCTGTCTTAGGTCCCCAAGGCAGTGGCTGCAGCTGCTCAAGGGGGTTTGACAACAAAAACAGTGACCATACCTATCTTTCAGTAGTAGAGCAAGTGCTTGCGGTTACTGAAAGCCCCTAGGGCACGGAGATTGAGATTCCTCCTTTCTGTTTAAAAACTTTTAAACAGAATAAGTAGAAGCTTTAATTTGTTTTCTTCTTTTTAGAAGCACTTGAATTCTACATCTTTTAGAACATCAAAAATAGTGATTGTGAAGAGCCCAGATCAAATTATCACATTAATGGGACATTTTGTATTTGATTTCCAGCTACCGACAGTCTTTATAAACTTTCTCTGCAAACCCTCAACGCAGACATTTTCTTAAAACAACGCCAGACCTCACCAGCACCTGCCTCTCCATCACCACCTGCCGCCCCTTGCCCGTTCACATCCCGAGGCAGTTACAGCAGCATCGTCAACAGCTGCAGCAGGTAGGCCTGCTGCTCAGTACCAGAGCCGCTCACACCTGACATCGCTTGTAGCAGTACTTCATGGCCACACCACCCTGTTACGTTTGACAGTCCCCATTTTTTGCCCAGTAAGTGCCTGACCCAGCAGTAATCTTGCCACCATCAACAAGTCTGTTGTTTGACTTTCTAGAAAGTCACCCAAAAGCCGGTAAGCATTCCAGGGTCATCTGAAGGATAAGGACATGAATTGAAGATAGGACTTTGACCTTGACTTCCACTTTAGAGCAGTTTGGATCAGTAGCCAGAAGGGTGATCAAACCAAGACTGTCATACTGTTGTTTGAAGTACTGTGTAGAAGAAGTGAGCTCAGAGGCATAGAAGGGCCGCAGACAGGACACACCAACTGTGCTCAGTCAGGGACAGATGGACACACACACACACACACCCCGAAATGCCCCACATAGCTAATGTGACAACCACAAAGGCTGGCCTCCCCTCTGTCAACAGTGTTCTTGGTATACACAGGTATTAGTGTGTCGTGATCTGCTGGCAGACTCCTTCCTCAGTGATCAGAAGAGGCAGTGATCTGTGGTGGGGGGCTCTGACTTGCCTGATACCTGCCCTGGTCTCTTTCATAGCTTTCCCAGAAACCCCTCATTTTCCATCTGATTAAGCAGTCTTAGGCCCTTGGGCACTTTCACAAGGTATAGCTGTGCTCTAAGCACCCCAGGGCCATCACAACATCAGCAGAATACAGGCAGGGCTCCACCTGAAGGCCTCTCCCTGAGATAGGTGTGACCCCCCACTGTGGGCACTGCCAGTGTCTTCTCTTCCCTGCTTTCCTCAAGTGACCCAAAGGCAAAGCCCAGCGGGAGCAAAAGCAAGTTAACAAAAGCAGCCTCTCTCCCCGGCAAGAATGGCAACCCCACTTTTGCTGCAGTCACTGCAGGCTACGACAAGAGCCCGGGTAAGTGCCCCTGCTCCCACAACCTGCCACTCCTGGGCAGTGCACACAGCGGGGGGCCTTTGTCCGGGTTCGGGTTCGCTGACCTGATTCAAATCCTTGTTGCAGGTGGGAATGGCTTTGCTAAAATTTCTTCAAGCAAAACAGATTTTTCCAGCAGCCTTGGCATTTCACACATTCCTGTTGACAGTGATGGCTCAGACAGGTACGTGGACCACCCCTCATCAGTAGAGATTGGGATCTCTCAGGTCAGGTGAGCATCTCTTCATAGATGGGGTCAGGGCACTTTCTCCCATATTTACAAAGAGGCATTTGTGAGAGGGTCAAATGCCTCTGAGCCTTGTCCACCAGGTGAAAGCAAAAAGCTGGTTGCAGAGCCTCTACAGTGTTCCCCAAAGTGGGGACAGAGGTCGGGGGGGGGGGACCAGAGGCACCCAGGGCCTGCCTTGGCCAGCAGCCATGAGTGCCAACTCTGCTGGCATTCTGTTGCCACAGGTTGTAGTGAGAAAGCATGTGGTCTGATCCCTGGATAGCAGACATCCTACAGAGACTGGCTGGCCTCGCTGCTTTCTTGACCCAGAGCAGTGACTGCTTTCAGGCAACCTCAGTTGGCTTTGCCAGAACAATCCTACAGTCTGTCAGCAGAGTAGGACCCCCACTTACCTACATAGTATTAATAGGGGTGAGTCCTGGATTTGAAACAGCTCTTTAAGAAGTCTGCCATACCAAAAAGTAAGCATAAACTCCCTGCTTTCCCTGCAAGACAATTGCTCCAGCCCTGGCTCAGCTAGTGGAAGGCATCAGACTGACTTCATCGCCTAATCATCATGTATAACAGCCACTGTAGGGCCCCTTTGTCTCTGCTTCCATCCCTGAGCCCCCAGTTGAAGCAGCACTCCTGCCCATTTCACTAACCGTCATCCATTTTGTCTGTTGCATTTTCTTCCTGTAACATTCAGCTCGGGTTTGTGGAGTCCCGTCAGCAACCCAAGCAGCCCTGACTTCACCCCCCTCAATTCATTCTCGGCCTTTGGAAATTCTTTTAATCTAACTGGTGGTGAGTATTTATCCTTAGACCTGTAATAAGCCTGTGGACAGGAGAAGGAGGAGGAGGAGGTGTGGTTTTACATGTTAAGGACGCTTTGTGAAGGAAGCATGGCAGCCATCTGAGCAGACATGTCCAGAGAGCATTTTCTTTGACTTACATCAACCGTAGATTTATGTGCTGATATCAGAGATATAAACCGTGCTTTTGCTGTCATGGAGGATTTCTGGGAGCCCAGTGCACACAGCCCTGAATGGTGTCTGTAAGGACACAGCCTTGTGGAAGGGTCCTTCTCCCCTGTACCCCAGGCCAGGCACAGTAGGACATCTCACTGCGGAAGTACATGTCATTATGCTTGTGCTCCACAGCATGTACCTACAAGCTTCTAGATGTGCAGTAAGACTCCTAGGTCCTCCAGGCAACAGTGTGAGTTCACATTAGCCACAGGGTCATTGGGGGGATAGTTGCATTCTGGTGTCATCTAGTGATGATTATGGGTTAAATATTCAAATTGTGTGCCACATGCCTGCATTCTGAGGAACATCCGAGAATACACCACAGAGTATGGTTGGAACTGACAAGATATGGGGCAGTTCTTAAGTTAGCGACACTGGGATGAATGTCTCTCTCATCCCAGTCATCACATACGGAATTGATGACTGTTGTTTTCAGAAGTTTTCAGCAAACTTGGGCTATCCCGATCCTGCAATCAGTCCTCCCAGAGAAGCTGGAATGAGTTTAACAGTGGCCCTTCATACCTTTGGGATTCTCCAGCAACAGATCCCAGCCCTTCCTGGCCAGCCAGTTCCAGCTCACCAACCCACACAGCCACCGTGAGTACCCAGAGCTGGAGCCTGACCCTGTCTTCATCAGCACCATCTCATTTGTCATTAGCATCTGTGCTGTTACTTGGATGGTACTGATAGTCTAAACAGCAAAAGTACTGTGACAGAGAAGTGCCAGACTTCCCTACCTCCGCTGCTTTGTCTCCATTCTGCCAAGTGGCCCACTGTGTTCCTCAGAGCTGTTAAGAGTCCAGAAGCTGCAACAAAACTAAGCAGCAGTGGGTCAGTCCCAGGCTTCCTTCCTGGCATGCCAGGGTCATGTTCAGCTTGTTCCCACCCTGTGAACAGGTATGACTGTCCATCTGCGACTCAGTGATACAGCCCTGTATCATGATATAAATTGGCATAACCAGGACCCACACAGGTGAGTCACCTGTGCCCTAGAGAGACCCATGCACAAAAGCAGGCCAGCTGGACTGGATCCACTGGCTGAGGTTTGCCAAGTCTTTAAAGTATTGAAACCATCTGCTCATACTCTGGTATAGCCAAATACATGGAATATGATATAAAATAAATAAAATGAAAGAAATCTACGGGCCAGCTTCATTTGTGTATAATCTTAGCCACCCTCCCCACTGCCTGCCTGTCTCACCTCTGATGCTCAGCACTGGGTGTTTTCTTTTTTGTCACAGTCGATCCTTGGCAATACCAGTGGCCTGTGGTCCACTACTCCATTCAGCAGCTCAATCTGGTCCAGCAACCTCAACAGTGCCCTTCCTTTCACCACGCCAACAAGTACGCTGTCCAGCATTGGCCTCATGGGCACAGAAAACTCCCCCAGTGCCCACACTCCCTCCACCTCTGGTCCAGCTGACGACTTGGGACAAACCTACAATCCCTGGCGGATATGGAGCCCCACAATCGGAAGAAGAAGCTCTGACCCTTGGTCTAATTCGCACTTCCCTCATGAGAATTAAAATTAGGCAAAAAAGAAAAGTGGAGGCCCCTCATCTAGATCATGATGTGCCAGTTTCCCAGACGTCTTTTGAAGGCTTTCACTGCCATCACCCCCTCCCCACCCTCTTCGTCTTTGCAGAGCAGACTTAAGCAGGGCAGGCTTTCTCCGCTCGCTTCTTTCAGATCTTTCATGCAGTTATGATACTATGAGATTTGCTTCTGTGCTTATAGAGAAAAGTCTGGACTCAGCCACAAACTCTGCTGAGAACTGTCATCCAAAGACCTTAATTGGTCCCGTCTCCCCACCTGTCTTCTTCCATGCTTTCTTTATCTGTAAGAACACAAATTTGGCTTTACAGTTAAGGGAGTAATTTGAGTTGATTCAGAAGTCCTGGCATGTGGCAATTTTACTAAATTACCAAGCTTGGTTTTTAATAATTTGACAACATTATGCGCCAAGATCTAATTTTAAAAATGTATGAGGACTTTGTGCTGAAAATACAGAGTATTTTTTTAAAAGTAAGGATATCTTGGTTTAAAAGCAGATTACAGAAATGTAAGCCAACTTAAGAACCCTGAAGAATGTAAAAAACATTCGATTGAGACCATAACGCATTTTCTGTGCTGTTTGTACTTGAGGTATGTAACATTTGTATACCTGAATTTATTTTAAAGATAAACTGAAATGCACATAGCCAAGTCTTGACATTACAAGATTGTGTATTTCTTAAATATACAACTTTGTGTTGTACTTTGAAATAAATGATGCTTTTTTCAAAAGCCTTGAATTGTTTTGGTTTTGCTTTTTTACTTACGAGATTTATTTCTCGGAATTTCCTCACACCACGGTGGGCCATGGTGTCACTGACTGGCCCTCTGAGGAGTTGACAGTAAAGGAGGAATTTGATTTCTCACAGCTGCAGCCCCATGTGGCTTCATGAAATCCTCATGGTAGTGACTGAGAGTCTTGATAGAAAAGGACCTCAAAGTCTGTTTGGATTCATCTGTTGGCAGGTTTTCCTCTGCCACAAACCTAAACATAAATACCTTTAAAAAGTCACTAATGTTTCTTGAACTTCCATTGTGTCAGCACCTGTCATATGTTGGTTATCTCCATTTTACACTCAGTCCCTGAGAGGTTGTAAGGTCTCCAGCTGGCTTGGAGCCCAGAGACAGGCCAACTGCAGGGTCACGCGACAGCCACCCTTCCCAAATATGGGTCCTGTGTCTGGCACAGCACTGCGTGTTCTGAGGTGGGATTTCCTCAAACCAACAAAGGTTGATGATAGAGTAAATCCTGTGGCAAGAGGGAGACACAAGGAAACAGCACGGGCGGGGAAGATGGCTCCATGCTTGCTCTGTGAGGGCTGGAGCTCCAATCCCCAGGATCCCCAGAACCCACACAAAAGCCAGGAAACTACGGCAGTCACCTGCAATCCCAGTGCATAGAGGCAAAGAGGCAGTCCCAAGCCTATCTGGCCAGCTAGACTAGCCAAGTAGACAAGGTCAGGTTACTGCCTCAGTCAAAGTGGAGAGCTATGGAGAAAGCCCAGCATGCCTCCACATACACATGAGACCACATACATGTGTACCACACTCACACATGCAAAAACAAAAGAGAAGCAGGTATAAGGGGAAGTTCAGGCACAGGGAGAGCTCAAGACCACCTTCAGGAGTGCCCAGTGTTCCCTCACTCTGCCCCTGGGGAGTTGACTAGGAAGGATGATGGGGCAGCAATTTAACAACAAAGTCTGGATGAATGGAAACAGCTTGTCCAAAGCTGAGGGATGGAGCCTTAGGCAGAGAAGACAGGGCACCAGGTACAAGGGCCAGCACAAACTGTCCGTCTGCAAGACCTCAGGACAGACCATACAAGTGACCTGCTGAGTCTGGAAGGCACAAGAAAAGTTTACACATCCAAGTTGTATTTTTCTGCTTCACACAAAGTATGTTGACCTTTTTCCAACCTGAAGTCTCCTACAGCTTCTCCAAATACAGCCCAAAGCCTATATGGATAGCAAGTGTCAGCACACCACAGTACACTGATCTGGGTTAGTGTCTCCCTCAAGGTCCTGCCTGTCTCAATGTGCTTTTCTTGTCTTCATATTTCCAGTCTATTTCACAGAGAGCTTTTGCAAAATAGGAGCTGCTAAACACAAATGTGTTTGAGGCCAGTTACATCGTGAAGAAACCAAAACACCACACATAGTCAGAGGTGTTCATCTGAAGCCTCCTGTGGTGTGGTTTTGAATCTAGCCTTCTCTGCTTTCCACAAAGTTTCATCAGAACCAACTAGACCACCATGAGTTACCACTTGGGGCCAGGAGGCTTCCCGCACAGCTGGAACTGTGAAGCAGAGAACTGATGCCTGGCCATGTACAGTCTTGTTTGTTGACAGGGCCTCTTGTACACTTGCAAAATTAGGAGAAATTTAAGGCATGAAACTCTGCAGCAAAGAAAGCAATGTCTAAAGGTCTACAAACCGTAAACCCCACTGAGGGGCTAGAGAGATGCTCAGTGGGTAAGCATGCTTGCTGTTCTCTCAGAAGATATGAGTTTGATTCCTAGCACCCACATTGGGTAGCTCACAGCCACTTTATAACTCCAGCAATAGGGGATCCAGCACCCTCTTCTCGCCTCCCCAGGCACCTGCACACATGTACATAGATACACAAAGACACACCCAAATACATCTTGTTTAATCACACATACACTGTCTGGGGACTGGGCATGACACCCACAGAGGGGGTGCAGATGTTCCACTCACATCTCCCCATACAGTGTTTGGGCCTGCAGCCTGGCTAGCAAACAAGTGCTTGAGGCCATTTGGTCTTCTGGGGCCAAAAGTGCCAGACGCTCTTGGTAGTAAGAGAGCTCCCATCAGAGGAAACCCCCATCCCATATGGGGCAACATTGCAGGAGTAGCTACACACTGAAAACTACACCCAGTGCTGTCTACACCACATCTGCCTGCACCCCTGGTTTCTCCACTCCTGAATGGTAAGCAGAGATGATCCATCTCTCCAGTTCGGCCACAGTATACACTATGTCCGAAATCACCAACCGTAGCCAAAGAAGGTAACTGAAAGACTACACTACAGCACCCAGCTGGAAACAAAACCAACATTGCACAACAAACCAATACCTTGAGAAACACCTTCAAGAACAAACTAACCCATAAAAGTGGTAGAGATGCCTGACTCAACAGATATTCAAATCTTCATGTAGGAACAAAAAAGAAATATGGAAAAATATAAGCTCTCTAAAAGATTCTAACCCTAGCAACAGATTGAAAAAAAAAAATGGAATACCTGATAAATACTTCAAACAAGTGATTATAAAACAGCCAAATGAGACCCAGGAAAATACAGATAAACAGTTCCCAGAGAGGAGGAAGGTACTGCAGGATACCAATGAAAAACTAAGCTAAGAGATGCACATTTTGGGGGCTGGAGAGATGGCTCAGTGGTTAAGAGCACTGGCTGCTCTTGCAGAGGACCCGTGTTCAATTTCTAGCATCCACATAGTGGCTAACAGCCATCCATAACCCCAGTTCCAGGGGAATCCAACACCCTCTTCTGACCTCCAAGGGCATTGCACAACATGGGTTCACTTATATACATGCAGGCAATACACTTATAAAATAATAAAATATTTTTTTTTAAAATGCATATTTTGGAAAACCAAACTCTTTGGGTCAGACCCATGGCATCAGCAGGCAAGGTGGCTCAAGGAAACATGGAGGTTGACTGGCCTATTGGCCAAAATGTGCTACGAGTCAGCTGGATTAAGGGTTTCATTTAGGTATCACCTAGGAAGCCCTCTGTCACCAAGAGGTTGGCATGGCCAACACAAAAAAGCCCCTTGGATGCACCCTTTTAGAAGTGCTTCCCATGTAGAGAGAATTCTGTTGGGGAAAGTAGGGACTGAAGCCAACCAGCGAAGTTCTGCCATCGGGAAGTGTTTCCAGTGCAGCTAATCAAGAATGGCAAGAAAGTCAGCTTCTGTGCCTAGTGAGCTGTTTGAACATCACTGTGGAGACAACGGTAGTCTGGTGACTGAATTTTGTCATGTGTCAAGTTGGTGGCATTCCTAGAGCCTGCTGTGAGGCTGTAAATTAGCCAGTGTATCTGTTGTGGCCCTATACAAAGGCAAGAAGGAAAGACCAAGATCATAAACTTTGATAATGGAAACAGTAGTAATAAATTTTCATAGCCACAGAAAAGGAATGAAACAAATTTTAGAAATGAAGAACTAAGGGCTGGAGAGATGGCTCAGCAGTTAAGAGCACCGACTGCTCTTACAGAGGACCTAGGTTCAATTCCCAGCACCCACGTGATGGCTAACAACCATCCATAACTCCAGTTCCAGGGTAATTCAATGCCTTCTTTTGACCTCCCTGGGCATTGCATGACATGGGTACACTTACATGCAGGCAATACACTCACACACATAAAAATAAATTTTAAAAAAAAATGAAGAGCTTAAAAAAAAAATCAAATAAAAAAACACAGGTGAAAGCCCCAGCAATAAACTCAAGTAGAAGACAGCATGTCTAACCCTGAGGACAGCACTTTGTTAATTACATTCTTGTTTGTTTATTGGGGAGGGGCATACATGCCACAGTGTACATGTGGACGCCAGAGGGCAACTTGGGAAATCAGTTCTCTCCTCCCACCATGTGGCTTTGGGGATTAAAAGTTCATCAGGCTTGGTGGCAAACTCCTTTACCACTGAGCCACCTTACTGACCCAAGGACAAATCTTTTTGAATATACTAGTCAGACCAAAATAATAAAAATCGAAAACCAAAATTTAAAAGCCAAAGTAAACCAAAGACCAAAAAAAAATTTTAAAGGAATGAATGAATGAAAGGAACATTCACGAGGTAAGGGGTCAGTGGTGAGCAACACACAAAGCGTCTGAATACCTGAAGGTGAGGGGGAGTGAAGAGCACAGAAAATCTACACAATGAAAAAATGGCAGAAAACTTCCCTAATCTCCAGAAAGGTATAGACATCTGTGCACAGACAACTAATGGAACTCCAAGTAGACATGAGGAGATAAATGTTTATTGCAGCATATAATAGCAAAAAAAAAAAAACAATGCATGATAACGTATTCTAAAATCCACAAAAGTACCAAGTCACATGTAAAGGCATCCCATCAGCCTAACAGCAGATTTGTCGACAGAAACCAGAGGGGGATAGAAAAACGGATTCTAAGTCCTACAAGAAAATAAATGTCAAATCAGATTATTATACCCAAAAAACGCTATATCTTAGAAATGAGGGAAAAATAAAGAACTTCTAAGACAAGCAAAGAGTTCATGGTGAGAGGATCAGCCTTATAAGAGACTCTTGAAGGACTCTTTACATCCAGAAATAAAAGAAAGATAAAAATACAAACAGCACTAGAAGAGTATACAGAGAAAATAAATGGAAAACAATCAGTCATTACCAACATGGTGAACTATGAAACCACAAAGATGAACAAGAGAAAAAAAAATTCAAAACAATTAGAAAAAAAGTCAGCCAAATGACTGAAACAAGTCTGTCAATAGTAACATTGAGTATAAATGGACTAAATTCTCCAGTTAAAACATATAGACTAGCTGGGCGTGGTGGCGCACACCTTTAATCCCAACACTAGGGAGGCAGAGGCAGGCGGATCTCTGAGTTCAAGGCCAGCCTGGTCTACATAGTTCTGGGACAGCTGGGGATATATATATAGATATATAGATAGATAGATAGATAGATAGATAGATAGATAGATAGATAGATAGATAG